GGAAGAAATGCACTCCTTCTGACCTCCATGATCTTGGTGTCGCTAGCGATATCGGTTCCAGACTTTGCGCAACCGGGTACTGGCTTCTGAGCCGTTTAGACCAACCTCTTGGCCGACATTTCGCAGGCAAACAATATCGCAGCGCTGTTCGAGACTTAACTTAAGCTGATCTGATGATTGGCGAAGCAGTGGTTGTCCTGATCGGGCAGTTCCACCCCATCGCCAAGTACGTGACAGCAACGTCTTGGTGCTAATCGCGACTGCAAGTGAGAGCCTGGTCAGAGCAGCCTTGTGTGGCAGTGTAATCATCAATGTAGAATTGGCGCAGCTATCATCACCAAGAAATCGTGATTCACAATGGCAAGTCCTTCTGAGACATTCGACACCTTTCAAGAGAGCAGTCACGCGTGTAAGTGAAGCGCATCCCTTACATATCATTTAGCAGATGAACCAAATTTGAGTAGCATCTGCACCAATTTGCCCGAGAGACTTGTAGCAAGGTTAGAGTCCTACTGATTGTGGGTAGCTGTACTATCAGAAGTACATGGTTTCTTCCAAGGTCTCACTGTAATTACAACTGCTCTTCATACCAGAAGTGTGGTTCGTTGACTTTCCTACTGGTGTGCTTCATGTGCCCAAGTGATGCCGGTCTCGTGCCCCTGAAGGCATTCCGGCGATGTTGAACTGAAGCTCTGGCAAATCCACGGCCGTGGTCCCAAAAACTTCCACAAGCGCACCTTCCGCAAGACTCCGTCAAAGACAACCAAGAATGGGGTTCCAAAGCCGCTCACAGTGCTTGCCTACGTCCGCATGGCCATACCGCCAATCACTCCCTCTACTTGGTTCCGGCCGCTCTCCCATGGCACGGTCGATGACGATCATGAACTCTCGCTGTTGCATGTCTGTTTCCTGGTAGCTTTGGCAATCATTCTCTTGCTGGGAAGTAGAGTCATGATAAAGTGAGGCTGGTGTCATCGATCTCAGAGCGCGCAAGACCCCTCAGGCTGTCGGGGGGGCGAAGGCCATCGACCAAGACTTTGCCGTCATCACCAAGAACAGAGGTGAATGCTATCACGAAGAAGCAATGATTTGGAAACGCAAAATGGACTGTTTCGTCTCCTCCAGCACAGAGTGGTAGACGGTATCATGGAGTCCTTGGACAACATCATGCACCTCGACAAGCATAACACAGCCGTCAAGAGAAGGGCCTCAAACTATACATCAATAGCCAGCGCAATAAAATCCGGCAGTTCTCAAACCAGCAAGAAGCCATGCCCATATGTACTCTAATCGCGATGCACATGTAGGGATGGCGACGGCGCAGAAGAGGCAGAGACCCAAGCCCTGGTCGACCAGCACCGAGTCAGCATTATAGCAGTGATGACTATGAAGACAGAGGTACGAGGCAAGATCAACGATTTACGACTGGTTGGTTGGAACTGATCAGGGGCTAACCGAGTGCTTACTCAGTTTATGCAAGTTGGGCTAATCATATCAACACCCTTCAGGCGACAGACCAATAGCTAGAATTTATGCACAGACGAGAGGATTTCCTTCCATCTTACGCGACGGCGACAAGAACATCCAGAGTTGCAGGTTCAGATCAAGCCTGTCCCTGCCAGCATTGCCACGAGTAGCCCTAGACAATCGAGTCTTCACACAAAAAGCCTTCGGGAACTGGGCGTGAGCCTTGGACATATTCCTCGGGAGTGCAGGAGACAGGCCTGCGATGCAAGATGGTGTAGCAAGGGAATATATTACGGGAGCTGTAGAGATTCGGGGCAAGGGGCCCGTCCTAGCCCGTAGCTTGTACACTCTCCAGCCACTGCTGAGGCAAATGACATGTCCTGGGATGGAGGGTGCTCCAGGCCGCGAGGACACAGGCACGATGAAGAATGGCGAGCTGGTTTTGAGGGCTCGAGACCGAGTGGAGGGGGATATAGCTCAAGTCATGGGCTGGTAGCTGAAGAAGATATGCCAGGCGCGAGCATCGGAGATTGTGTACCATCTGTAGCGAAGTATGCGACTTGGATCTGAAGCGCATTACGCTGTCAGTCTCCAGACCGTGGTCGTTGCTGAATGGAGGGGGGTAGGGGGGGATTGTTGTGAGGAGGACTAGTCTTGTAAGTATTGGCTCAGTGCCATGCCGTGATTACGCTGGCGCAGGGGTTTGTTGGCGATGATGCTGGTGCGGGTGCTGCGGCTGTTGCAATCGATTAGATGGTGCCGCGCCCTATATTGTATCTTACCCGTGGCAGATGCCTTTCTCTTCCGTGTGTGCGAGGACATGATCAGACTGAAGGACGTTCCCATGAGAAAGCCCAGCGCATAGAAAGAAGCGAAAGAGGTCGGCGCAGGACTTCGCCGGCGCCTTGTAGTTGACTGAGATTGGTAGTAGTCGCGCGAGCTGCAACTATTGTGGATACAGTAAGACCCAGCGACTCTGGATAATGACCCTACACGAGATCCGATGGGGACAGCAAAGCACCCACTCCAGAGGACGCTGCGTCGTGGGTGGCGTAGCTCTAGAAAAGGTGGAGAGGGAAACCATACTGCTGATAGATACAGGACGTATTGCCCTGAGGAAATGGGACTCCCTGAAAGCCCAGCAACAAATGCAACAGTCAGCATCGCATGACCCAGAGCGCGATCAATCGGATCTTTGAAGATCGGATGCGCTGCCAAAGATCGCAAGCCGACAGCCCCATCACCTGGATATATAGCCCAGTTACTCAAATGAGGAGTCTCTAATCATGTCAATCTCCAGGTCACAACGGCCAAGGTCCACAAGGGAGATGTGGGCTTTTCCCCAACATTCCAGTCATCCTTGCCAGGCTTGTTGTACTAACTGTGATTTGCAGGTAGCCTAGTATCGGGTTCCTGCAATCAAGGTAGTCGAAAGCCGCCGGAAAGATCGAGGATCAGCCTTCTCGGCGTTTTGCTTGCTCTTGTGTAAAGGCTGTAAGATAGGTGAGGATTGGAGTCCCTACCGCCTGTCCCCGTGAGAGCTGAAGGATAGATCGTGGATCGAAGTCTTCTCGGCGCCTCGCTTCCTCTTGTGTTCTGCGAGCGTTCGGTGTCAAATCCCTCTGCGTAAAGAAGGTGGGCTCAGGTGACAGCTTCGGTGCTTCATCAACTAATGCTGATGTTCTCACATAGAACTGAGTAAGGCCGTATGGGGTCTGACTCGAAAGAAAGTGAGGTATACATCCTTGGCCTGCGGCAATACTCGACCGCCTGGACACGCCAGCCACATAGAGCTAGATGAACTTGAGCCGAGTATTCCACCGCGAGCAACCTTTGTCTCGATGGCTGTCACACCATTCCAAGAAACGAGGCCAATCCCCACCAACTTGTTGACTTCAGGTCAGTCATGATCTCTGGTGAGGGAATACTGGGAAGAAAGGCGCTCGCGATAGTAAAGAAGGTGGAAATTCTTGGTCACTGTGAGACCTGGACATCAGGTGAAAGGAAACATCAGCCCAAAGCAATAGCATCGCCCTGAAAATGGGGGTAATCCCAGTCAAACCGCCCTGGCTCCTGTTTAGCGCAGTCAAAAAGGGTGTTCAGAGTGCTGTCGGCGAGGAAAGAAACTCTTGATGCTCCATTCAAACCAAGCAGACAAGATGAAGAGCAGTGCAGTGCAAGCTATGTCGATCTGGGTGGCTGGGTGGATCTTGATAGCCTCAGCATCCTTGATCTCGGCATTGGCCTCAACCTCGTCAGACGCGAGACCACGGCCTAGAGTCCTGAGTCCTCTTCCTATGTCTCCCAGCTAAAAGGCAAAGGTGGTTGTCTAGGAGAGCTCAAGATACAAGGTCATGGACGAGCTCATCAACCAGCTTCAATCGTAGCCACAAAGTTTCGTATCGCATCAGCCGTCAGATGCCCGGGATGACAGGTCGGTCAAAGCCTTGTCGGAGTGAGCTGCAACAGTTGAGCGTGGCGAATTGGTTGTTGGAAAGGAGCAGTAGCTTTCTCTGCTGGCGCTGGACTCTCTTGCATTCGGTGCTTTTGGAGGAACGGTTCCTGTTGGGTCGGTCGGAGATGAAGCCAGTAAAAGTGATGATGGAGTCGGTGACGAGAAGATTGTTGGTTGCTGGCAAGCACTCTTTTGCTCTGGTTCCTTCCCCTACAGCTGCGGACTCTTGCGGTCAAGTCTTGAGAGACAGGTTTCCTTCTGGGGTACCTCGGTATCAAGGCAATCGATAGAAGTTCCGATCTCTTAGCAGATCATGTTGCCTGGTGACTGGCTGTTCTGCGTCGGGCAGGAGAAAAGCGAATCGATGGCACGCGTTCTTGGTCTCAGGAAACTCTTTATCGGTTTCGGTGCGCTTGACTATGGATGGGCAACTTGTCGTTGCGATCATGTTCGGTCGGGTCGCATCCGTTTCGAATTGCTCGTTGTTGAATCGGTTGCTTGGTACGAGGCTCGACGCCCATTTCTTAGGCGGGGCGCGAGTGATGCTCTTGATAGCGAAGCTGTCTGTCGCACAAGGCCAATTCACATCGTCCGGCAGCGACAGTAGAGCTGATCAACATCAAGGGAGATGCCATGGCTACGGTGCGCTGGCATGTTTGCGTCATCGCTCGTGAGCTTCGTTCGTTGCGGGCATGTTGCGGATACGTCTGAGCCATCTGTCGGGCAAGTACAGAGTAGATTGAGACGAGTAGACGAGATCTCAATGACGCCGTTGGTGGTCGAAGCTGAAGGTAGAGCAATTCGTCGCATGGTTGGTTGGCTAAGCGAGCCTAATCAGTTAACAGGTACCTTAGCGCCTGACATAGCTGGCACTGCATGAAAAGTAGCTTCCAACATCGTTATCGGCTTATCGATACCAATTATGATCCGAGCAAGGATACCCCAGCCTCGACCCTTGAGGAAGCGGTTACTGCCATTGTCGAGCAGGCAGAGGTGACGATCGATCAGAAGCTGGAAGAGTACCTATGGCATATATATCATAGCATTACAGAGTGTTACACTACAACCTTAGAGAATCATGGCCCTGAATCTTCATATTCCACCTTGTATACGCTCCCCTGCTGAGCCTAGGCACCCTCCGCCAGTAGATCAGCCGCTACGGATTCAGATTGAGGGACCGCTCAGCTCTATCAACAAACTGCTACCTGGGGTTGAATGGCAGCTTGAGGGCGTTTTCCGTCCGAGCCTGCAAACAGCTGGCCCAGAGCTTGCTAGAGTGGTGTTCCGGACAGTATACGGACATGACATTCGTCCTGAGATCGATGGAGATATGGTTGTGCGAGATGAGTACCTAGGCTGGGTGCAGGAGGATCCAAGGCCGTGGACGTAAGTGAGCTATGGCATAGCGTTTCTCGGCAGATACTAACTGGTTACCTCTCACTGGCAGTAGGATTGACTACTACGGGGTTACGTTTGACCACCTTGTGCCTGCTGGCGAAAGGGATCCTGAGGTCTTACAGGTTAATATTATTGAGATGGAGGAAGATGAGGGAGCATATGCGAAGGAACATTTGCCATTTACTGTAGATCCAGCAGAATATAGCGGAAGGAAGGTACTGGCCGTGCCTAGGTGTTGCCAAAAGAGGAAGGGCACACAGGATCGTCGACGAATAAATGAGTCGGTATTTAAGAGAGAGGAACTATTAGGGGAGCTGGGAGATAAAAGTAGTGGGTAGTATGTAGGGTAGGGGGACAGAACAAAGGGCTAAGATAAAACTCCATATCACTTCGTGTACGCACTCTGTGGATGTTTCATGATCACCAGCGTAACTTATAGTATTATGTATTAAAAGACCTGTATGCCTATGAACCCGATTCTGGGTCATAATGCTGTATTTTATTTTATTTTACCGCTATAGTGTGCGTTGCATTTAGCGTTTCTTTGCTGACCATTGTGAACTCCCTTGGTAGCTGACATTAAACAAGGGCATGGTACGTAGTGAATTGATTACCAAAATTACATTGATACTCACAACCAAGGAAAGACAACCGAATTTTTGAGCTCTATCCATCTTCTGGTCCAAATTTCATTTACCTTCCCAGGCTCTTCCGTACCACTCATTAAGTTGCCAAAGAAAGATATCATTCCCTACGTTCATTGATCCATTTTGGCGCTAGCTACCCTGTATTGTCAGATTTCGGGATGTCGTCTCACCCCACCACACTAAAATCTAGCGCAGATCAGCACTGCGTCATCAACGATAACCAGAGCGCCTCCCCATGCACGCAGCTCAACAACCTCAAGTCCCAATCACCACTGCCCAGTCGCATTCAACTGCTCGACTGCATCGAATGCTCTACATGCTACAGCTCGAATCTGAGACTTGCTAAGATTCTATTAGACCTGTACATCCACGGGGAAAACGGTCCGACGCGTCTCACCCCGCGATGAACCAGACGCGACCAGACGCCATTACGAAGCAACTAGCCGCACCGGCGACGATGCGCAGCAGGCGTGAGTGCCACTGAAACAGATGTCGCAAATTCTTGAACATTGAGCAGGACATACACACGGGCGACCGCCGTAAAGGTAGCATACATGTGACAACAAACTCGAGCCTCGGATCGTACCAAGCCCCCGACCGGCGGGTACAGGAAGCGATATGTGATACTTTCCGATGCATTTGCAGCCATTCCTCGAGACATACATACATACATACAGAAGCAAATGATCTTTGCATCTGGGATAATACTTCTCCTATAGCTCCCTTCCACCAATGCAAGCTTGCCGTACCGTGGGAATTGACTTAACACCTTGCTTGGCTTCCAGGGCTCGCTCGGCGTTTCTCTCCCTCATGCATGTATGCTGTCATCTCCCGTCCTGAAGCTCACTGGTATTGCTAAAGTTTGCCTTGCGCTGTGTTAGGATCGTATTATCGCTGTTTACCATCAGTTATGACTACGAGAGGAACCCCAAGCCAGACGCTGCACTGGACGACAGTCCATGCTTGCCTGACAAGCTGGCTGTGAATGAACTACATTTATATCCGCAACCAAGAAAAGCAACTGACTCTTTAGCTCTCTGCACAATCGAGTCAAAATTCCATTTACTGTGCAGGCTCTTCCATACTAACCATTAAGTTGTTAAAGGAAAGTGTCATTCTTCATGGTCGTCGACCATTTTTGGCGCTGGCTACCCTAGACCTTCCGATGTCGCATTTCACTCCCAGTAATTCACTCCAATGTGAGGGGATTTATACAGAACAAGGCAGTAAGACAACTCACCAATATTAGAAGTCCCAATGTATCCCGTAGATCTGTAGTTTCCGACCATCTGCGCTTGAGCATCGATATCCTCATGTAACACACTATCAATCGTATTCAGCTGATGGCTCAACGGCACCTCAATCTTCACCACTGCCTGTCCACTTGAGGAGAATGGCAAACAAGCGACCCCGGAAGTGGAGACACAAAGTAGTAGGCACATCCCCACTAACAGGATTTCCTGTTACAACATCTGTAGCAAAGACGGTCTGAGACAGGATGCGCGATGAGAGTAGCAATTAGATCATCGCTGAAGAGAGATGCAGAATTCGGATGTCAATTTAATTCGGGCTTGGGCAGATCGCTGAGTTTATTTTGGTAGGGTGACTGTTTTCGCCTGGATTGACACCCAGCAGGAAGATGCCCATGGCTCTCACTTAGGATCACCAACTAAAAGAAAATACGACAATTGAATTAAGCAAGCAATTAAAAACCCCTCGAACAGAAACTTTGTTTTATTAGTTATGAGGTGTTGTTATTGAGGACAGACTAGAGGAAGGCGTTTAGTGATTCCAGCACTGATCTCGCAGACCCATGTCCTGAACTTGCTTTACATCCGCGCTCAACACCACACAAAGAACTCTACCTATCGTTAGAAGCAGATTTTTTTTGTCACTTACTAATATCAAGGAAGCTTTCGTTCTGAAGTTGAGAGCGGTATCTTGGGATCTCGTCGTTAAGCGTAAGCTCGTCGCGGTCGGAGTCTTGGGCAATGGCGTGGAGCGAAAGTTTATTCTCGTGGGCATTTTCTTCGAAGCTCGTTGAAGCTCGTCGTGGAGAGCGCAGGGGGGGAGTGTCTGTCGAAGCTCATCGTAGAACCATTGTTCGTTTTTGGGGGGCGGGGTTGGAGCACTAGAGATCAGCTTGATCTGTAAGTCAACAAGATACAGCCTCTACACAAATCCATAAAATACCGACATATTCACTGGCGGAAGCAAGATGGTGGAAGAGAGTGGAGGGGCAATCGCTAAAGTGGTGGGGGTGGGAAAGGTGGGAAACGCGTTATGCGGGGTGCGAGATGCGACGCGCTAAGTTAGCCCCGCGTTTCTGCTCCAACTCTAGATTTCGCTTCTCGACTTGCGCTGCAGCAAACATGAGTACAGCAATGTAGATACTGACTGACAACCCAGCGAATTACGATCAAATCCAGGGTTAAGAACAATACCATTAGTCCCGATAAACCCCCTCCGAACCGCCCCCGAAACCGCACGTCGACCCAAGCCAAACTCGTTACGACTCCTCCATCTTCGTCGATCTTCCGCTCGTCACGCACCGAACAGCTCTCGAGTCCGCTCCTACCGCGCAATGCCCAGCCAGCACCGACCGATCTATAGGCCAGCGTGACCCGCCCGTTGATAGTCCCAACGGTAGTCAGTCCGTCCCGTTACAAAGGCTCAAAACACAACTCGACTTGTTCGATTGACCGTGGGTTGGTTGAGAAAGCGGGATTGAGCTGCCGTCTGTGTCCCTTCCGTTTAGTGGGATCGCGTAGAGGGAGTCTGGCTTCGTGATTAGCCTTGCTTGTCATCTTCTCTCGCTGAGTGCTTCGGTCTCAACTTGACCAGGTACCAAGCAATTGAGTCCTGTTACCACAACATGACACTTGTATATATCATCTACAGTCAAATATACGCGGTCTGCATTACAAGTTCCCTGCAAATCGCATCGCTAAACCTATGGTCGACGCAGCGGCCCTAGCATTCATTCCCGGGCTAGATGGTGTCCTCTCGCAATTCCTGGGTGGATGGCTAGGCAAGGCACATATTCAGTTCCAGTAAAACGGCGAACTCGCACATCCGAATGTCTCAGGTATGATCCCACAGCGTATCAAGGCGGGCATTGATGCTCAAGAACGCAGAGTAGATCGGGCTCGTCAAGATGAGGGTGCTCGGGAACACGAGGACAGAGGCATTCGGCGTAAAGATGAGCGACAACAGTGGACAAGAAGAATGCCAAGAAGTACAAGAACCACATCAAAAGCACGGGGCTACGCTGATGAAGCCGTGATCTCACTACCTATCCCTCCACGGATTGTCATCGAGGAGACGCAGATCTCGGACTTAGGCTTCAAAAACCACAGGGAGGGTCTCGTCGACCATTATTGCGATGTAGGGGTCCGGCTTGTGCTCGGGGTCGAAGGTTTTCTCGTCGATTGGGCTGGTGGACTCACAGTCCCTGGTGCCGACGACCCAGCAGAGGTGCCTTTCTTCTAGCTCGTTGACCGTGGAGCCGTTCCAATTGATTGTGCTGTGATTGACGTCGTACTCGCCCACGGTGAGGTACCACTTGAACAAGTACGTCCTCTGTGTAGAGGGCGGGATTAGGGAGATTCGACTAAGCATTGCTTACCACCTTGGAGTTGACCTCGGAGAGCTTGGTCCTGCTATGGATATCGATGCGGTGTACTTGCTCTTCATCTCGCCCATGGAGATTGGGACGCCGCCTTCAGTTTGTTGATGATATGGTGCCAAGCGCCATCTCCATGGTGCAGTTCCAGTTGAACTTGTCCTCGATCAGGTTCTCTTCCTGACGAGCGCCAATTGCTGCACCTCACTACGCTGGAACAGTATCCCATGGTCTTTGAGAACTTCATCGAGGCGCTGCTTATCTTGTCCAGCGATACCCCCTTGGCTATCTCAACCTCGTACCTATGATTGTAGTGCATCTCGATTACATCTGCGAACTGTTCTGGGGACTGCGACGTCGCCATGCAGTCTTTAGGGTCATCGTCCAGTACCGCCTCACTACCGTCGGCGTGTCCAGTCCCACGCTCGTCCTCACTCTCAGAAAGCTAACCTTGGATCAATGATGGCCAAGGACATTGATATCGGCCACAAGCAAACTGACACCTTCTCCATACCTCCTTGGACCACCCCCGAGACACATTTGTCTGTCTGATTAAGATATTTGCCCACTTGAACGGCCGAACTGAATAAGTAGAGTCTACCATACTGCGTTAGACTTCATGCTTATTCTCTTCAAAAGCCATGTTATAATGCTGGATGTTTCTGAAAAGGGGAGATTCCTGAAGGTTCTAGCGTTCAAATTCCACGACGTAGGTTTCATCTTGATTAACAGTGACCGTCAGGAACACCAGCGTTTTGGTAGCTCATGCATGACTATCAAGGGGGATTAGCATATTGTTTCACCATTAGGTTTACTGGATCCTATATCTGCAGTACCGCTGGCCCGATAAAACAGCACTGGCTGACTTCTTCCGAGTGTTGGTACGTTTCCTGGTCAAGATATCGTATATCAGAGGCATCCCGGCCAAGCATATTCGACCCATGACTTTCTGCAGCCAATGCACTTGGTGCCCTTGTAGTGTGTTGCTGTCTGGAGAGAGCAGCACTTCTTCGCGTGTCCTCCTTGTTTGTGAACCTACTATGGCGAAACACCTATACTGGAGGTAGTTCATCGTGTGGTAAGGTAGAGCTATCCAGATTGGAGGGTGTCAGGCCGGGAATGATGAACTTGCTATTCCCCACAGGCCCCGGAACTTGATGTTGTGGTTGGGCTTACTCGTCGAGGCTCTTCGGGTCTGCTGGTTGAGTCTTAAGTTAGATCACAAGAGAGTGTTGCGTGCAAGATGGTTGAGGAGAAGATTCAGGTGTGGTGAATTGAAGTGGCAAAGGCAGCTTTTTGCGGTTTAGGCAATCATGTCATTGTCATCGTCATACATCGTGCAGGAGAAATCTCATTCAATGCGTTCAGGGTATCCCGTCTTTATCTGGCCAGACTGTGACTCTGTCTCCTCGCCGTAGGGGCAGCAGTTCTACACACTACCAGTTCTGTTAGAGAGAAGTATATGTATTCTTTATTTACAGCAGAATGACTCAACGTACTAGTCCCGGCCCCCATTCCCAAGTATGTTGTCATTCTTATTGGGCATATGGTGAATTGTAAACGACTTGATAAGATTCGCGGTCATCAATGCAGGGTAAGAAAGCAAGGATGAACGTGAGTCTCGATTACAGGGTGACCATGGCCTTATGCCAGTACTGTGATGATGGAAGGGAGGTTGGACGGCAGCGATTGGCTCCGTCCTTCAGCAGTTCGACGATATCATGTCCAACAAGACCTGCAGCTCTTTGCAATATCAGCGACGGGGCATTGCCTGTCATTTGAACATCAATAAGGGTCCTTCATAACTCAAAGACCACGGCTTTGCTCTATTGAAAGTGATTCAGAAGTGCAGGATTAGATAGGCCAATCTCCAGCGTCAAGAGCGGAATACACGATTCAGTCAGACAGATCAAGAAACATAGCATGTGCCCCAGTATGCCGTATGTTTTCAGACCTGCCAATTCGGCAACGCTTCATCAACGCCGCTTCCAAATCGCAATCTGAGTTCCAAGTCGCATGGCATGTTCTCGACTCGACCTCCCGCGGAAACCGCAATTTTCCCCTATCCAGTCTCTCTATAGATATGCAAAGGAGGTATTTTCATGATGCCCCTAACCCTAGGCCACAAAGAAGTCTCCTTCGCAGCATCTACTTTCCATCGACTCCAGGGGGACAGTTCTTATTCTTCAACCCTCTACCAACAAACGCCTGGGGACTGACACTCGCTGTATCGAGCAAGGCGAGTCCATTTCACTGGAGCGATGTCTCCGTAACTGCTTCTTGAGCCCAGTTACGAAAATCCGTAGCACGCTCAAGATGAACAATCGAATGTCAGATTGAGTGAGAAAATTGGACGTGTACAAACCGGCGACTTTAGGCCAGTCCTTGTCCTCAAGAGGGTAATAGGCTGTTCCACGGTGTAAGCTGGAGATAGCTTTTAGCTATTTCACTTGGTCACATTGCATTCTCGCATGGATATTGTAGAGACCGAAAGTGACAAATCATAATCCAATATATCGCATAGAGACCTGCCACCAGGTAATATTATTTCCCGTACGAACCGTGTAAGTGAGAGGTATAGGGCACCAACAATATAAGCCGGTAGTGTACACCTCAGTCAAGCATAAGAGATACTTGGCGTAAATGCTAATGGGACGATAATATCGAGAAGCGGCAATACGATCTCAGCACAGCGCAAGGTAATTGTCAGTCTAAGCTAGTAATCCCTGTATGCATGAGGGGGAGGAAAGCTGAGTGAGGCCTGGTGGCCAAGCAAGGTGTTAACGCAATCCCTACGGCACAGACAAGCATGCATTGATGGATGGAAGCTACAGAAGAAGCACCATCAAATAAGATGCAAAGCTTATTTGCTTCTTAATATTTCTATTAAAACTCACAGACCCTTAGATAAAGAGACTCACGAGGCGTGGCTAGTTCGCTGCTATCTGATCTATGTCCATCGGGTCGAATCCCAATCCGGGGGGCTCTGTTGCCATGCCAGTTCCCGCGGCCCTCCTCTAGCCCCTTCCCCAAGGGGAGTTAACCAGTCGTCGATGACATTAGAAGCCTCCTGGAAGCGGAATGACTCTGGCCATCCATAATCGCGGTAAACCTGCCTTATATACTGGATATCTAGATCGGTTCCCCACTCTTCGGCTTGAGTTTTCACCGCCTCCTCAGTGATCCTTCCATCGTGTTCAGGGACCTTTTCTGCTTCAATAGTGATCCTGTTTCGACCAGGAATGAGTTTCAAGGTTTCGTATTGCTCCTTCAGGTTGTCAAAGAAGGTCTCAATGGGTACGGCATTCAACATGTCGCCTGCGTGGAAATCCTCGAAGATTTCGCAATCCATGACATTAAGCCATAGTTCACGGCTGAAGCTTTCGTGCCCAACAGCAATGCAGACCACATTACTGTCATCCATCAACTCGCCCTCCGATGACCAGAATTCCCGGCCTTGGTGATAGTCTTTATGCTTCTCGAAGTCTTCAAGGGTAAAGGCTGTGAGGTCCAGGAGCTTGGATTTGAAATGGATGTAGGCAGTACATGTGCTATCAAAGTAAGGGAGATGGCGAAGGACTTGGATAGCGTAGTCAGATTTGTAGTGTCCGCAAGACTCGGGAGTGATCTGTGGCCATCCACTGGGTGGGGGTATCTTGAGATCGGATTGGTCATAGTGCAGGGTGGTCAAGAAAGAGTAAAAGTCCACAAATAGAGCCCCAAGTTCTTCAGGTGTATATCGTGGATTGGTAGGACCCTCGGAGCCATCATCCGACCCTTCATAAGATCCATTGTCCGAAGGCGGGGGGGATGGTGAATTTCCGTGGCCACACATTTTGGTAAGAGATATGTATTTGATGGGAAGAATGATGCGTACTGCATACGTAGATAAGGTGGAAGCAGGGTGGTATTTGTAGGTGAGAGCCTACCTTACTATGACTACAAGAAATATGGAGCCTGAGTCTAGCTTCAGGGATACGGACAGGGGTTACAGTTACATTCAAGGTACAAGGATCAGTGGGGATCACGCCAGCAGTCAAACAAAGCAAGGGTAGGCAGGCAGTCATGAGAATCAGGATACAGGCTGACAGGCTTACAGTACAACCCTGTAAAGCTAATATTTTGCTCGATGCTACCTAACCAGCTAGCACTAGGTACTCCGTACTCCGTACTCCGTACTTTGTACCACCATCTACCCAAATCTCCCATGACCTCAATCTCCGTTTGTTTTCTTCACGTATGGTTTGGAATAATCCCACTTTGTTCGCGCCCCATTCGCTCCCTTTGGGTTATTGTCATACCATTCGTCCAACTTCAACAGCGCAAATCCAGGGTCATTGACAGCCAGCTTGTCAGGCAAGCATGGATTGTCGGCCAGTGCAGCGTCTGGTTTGGGGTTCCTCTCGTGGTCGTAACTAATGCTGAACTCAGGTCGCTCGCCAATTACGATCTCCATCATCATCACCTCCTTCTGGTTTGTTGGATGAGTGGCCTGCTTGTTGGTGCCGCGCTTGATGCGATTCCACAGCTCCGAATCGCTCAGCCTGCCAAGAGGTGTTTTGAGGCAGATGCTTGTCCACATAAGTGCAGCTCCCGCATTCTCATCATGGGGTAAATATCTCAGCCGCTGTCCTCTTTTATCTTTTCCGGCAAACTGCCATGCCGGGTCGGCCTTCGTGAGCAGGTACGCGGGAGGGTATTCATCCATATCGCATTGAGCTTTATGCTTCCGATCCTTTTGCTGTAGCCAGCTTGGATCGTGTTCCTTTTTCCAGACAGCAGTTGCTTTGGCATCCTCGCGGTGCGTCGTCGTGGCGGCTTCTTGCGGGCATGTAATGGTTGACCATGAGGGGTTATTCTTGATGGCTGAGCTATAGTGATAGCATGCTTGACCCCATTTCGTCAAACATCTGCCTGTGACTGGGAGCGGTTTCGCGTTCGCTGCATATGACATGGACGTTACAATCAAATCTCGAGTCTGCGTTACCGAGTTTTTGTCGCAACTGAGAAGACGGAGAGTGTTTTTTGCAGCCCCGAGTCTCCTTGTCGACATGCTCGGCTTCACGTTGCAACGTTTGTTTTTCGAGATGCCACCTCCGCCGTTCTTCTTGGGTGGCTGCGGCTTGGGCCTTGGCTTTGTCGGGGCTCTCGGATTGCCCTCGTCTCCCTTCTTACCACTACCCTTTTTGATCTTCCTGGGCGGCTTAAAGCTCGTCATGCCGTCTGGTATTGAGTTCAAAACATCAAAAATCTGTTTGATCTCATCTGGGACGAGGTCGGTTCCACCACACACGCTGAACCACCACCCAAAAGCCTCTTCTGGCTTCTCCTCCTTGGGGTAGATGTACGAGAGAGTCTGGGCCGCTGTAGCAGCCATGTCTATAGTAAAGTGTCAGAATGGAGCATTGTCAGATAGTAGACGATAAGGCATACCTAATCCTGCATCAAGCACCTTTCCTGGACGCCCGGGTATAAATGATGTCCCGGCGTCAAGAACGAACTTGAGGGATGCCATAAGGATGTAACAGCCGATCTGATGTTTGTTAGTGAAACTTCCCCAGTGTCTGTAGAATAACCATACCTGAGCAATTATGGGCAAGGCTTCGATGATAGTATCTGCGAAGTAATTGACCAGGAAGTTGTCGCAGTTGCATTGCCCCGGAGCAACCAAGTCAGTTGATCCGGGAGCTCTTTGCCAAGGAATCTCCTCATCGAGAGGAAATAACCCTACACATCCGTAATTAGACGTTCTCCCTTCTTCTTCCGCCTCATCTAGCAATGGCTGGCAAACGCTTTTGCATGGGTTCAGGCTGTCTTCGCCCTTGGTCGTATCCTTGTAAATGTAGCACTTGTGCGCATTCTGCCACTTGGCATCGGTGTAGTTGAATGCGTTAGGCTGTTCATTCCAGGATAGCCCGTCATCCTCGTCATCACCTCCATCAGCTTCTTCGTCGTTTGGCCGACCTACCTCAGTGGTGCAAGTATCTTCTGGGCAAAAGTTATACTTGCAGGCAAACCTACAAAGACGATTGAGATCGGCATCCTCTTCGTCGTAAGCTGTGGCCTTCTTGCTCTTATCCTCTGATGGAAGCTTCTTCAAAGTGCCTGTACCTGTGCAAGTACAGAGCGACTCAGGACAGAACCCGTAGTTGCAAGTGTACTCACACAATGAGCCTGTGTTGTCGGTTTTATCTTCGCCTTGGATGCATCCCTCACCCGAGTCTGGTCTTTTGACCGGCGCGTCGAAATCTACAGAAGTGAACTTTTGTAAGTCGACGGCCCAGTCAATGCTCCCAGCAAAGTTCAGGCCTTTCCATTTATCACGCCTTGAATCTTTGGTCTTGGGAGTCATATAGCTGATATAGTCTCCTGCGCCGAAACATGTAAGAAAAGCCGAAGGGCATCTAGAGGGAACATTTGCTTACCTTTGTAGAGCATGATATCAGATTCCGAGTCAGAATCATAGAAGGCCCGCATGCCGCTAACTCCTTTTCTGAGGAGTTCCATGATCTCAGCAAAGGCGAGATACCCGCCAGTCTTGGTACACCTTCCAGGGGCTGCATCTGACTTTATTCTGGAGCCAGTAAATTCACAGTTCGGTTTCCAGCAGCCATCCTGTGCCATATGAAAGGATCTTCCATAACTAGCTTCTCCAACAAAGATCTTGTTGTTAGGGACGCCGGCCTTGGTAACTAGTAGTTAACAATATCAGCAAGGCTACTTGTGCACAGGTGTGATTGGAATCATACTCATCGAAAGCGCGTTGTTCGTTTCGGTCAGATTGACTGGCAAAGGAATGAGTTAGCACGACATGGCTCAGATATTAGATCGTCAGACTCTATACCGTGGCTTCGTATGCACTTCCCAGACTCGCATTGATCAAAGGCATTGGGGTTCCCATAGTCCCACTGACCGTGCAGATCATAGGTCATGTAGACAATGTAATCAACGACTTCGGCGATCTTGTCAATAGGGAAAGCCTTAAGATACCAGTATGATGCAGGGGCGGCCATAGAAACAAGTTTGTTGTAGTTCATCTTGCTTCTAAGAACGGTAAGAAAACGCAAATAGTCAAGGCCATCTCGCTTCTGTCCAATAGGTTTGCCACCAACTTCGATGTCAGGGGCCTGTTTGTGTTAGCTCTATTGATAGGGCTAATGTGTCTTCATCACGAGAGCTGCAATACTCACTCCAGGATACTCCCAATCAATATCGATACCATCAATTCCCTCCTCGTCAGCAAACTTTGCTAAGTTTGTCGCAAAGGTCTCTCTGTTGTTGATGATGGCCGATCGAATGATGTTGTATTTTCCAGGCTCTGTTGAATCAGCCCAGCCGCCTGAAAGACCTTGGTCAGTACGCCGTATCCTCCCGCTTGCAAGCAACCTAACGCAACGTACCTAGCGAGACAATTCGCTTCGCTTTGAGCTTTTTGAAGTCTGCCCACTGGCTCTTGCCCTCCTTGATCACTGGTTTCCAAGTGTTTGGATCGATTGACGCAAATGCCCAATGGATATGAGTATACGACCCATCTGTATTAGCATCCTTAGCGTTCAACCAAAGGCAGTCGCGGTTCATTCCATACGCTTCATAATAACCTATGCGCTGAAAAGCGGAAGGAGGTCCGGAATTCTGCTTGATCTTGTTGCCGCAATTGGAGACACAGCTTGTCTGGAAGCCTTTCTTTTTGGACCCAGGTCCACCGCCTTCTGGTGAGTTATCTGTACAGTGAGCAGGGAAAACACCGCAAAAGCCCCAGTTGCTGCAACAAGCCTTCAAAGGACAAGGGTTAAGATCTGCGATCGAAACTGACTTGTTTGTAGGCCTCTTGGTGCCCGGGACCAAAGGACCACACTCAGCACCCTCCTGTGGAGGTGGCATTGGCGGATTTCCAGGGCCAAGACACATATTATAGCCAAGAAGCAGATCTTTACAATCGGTCCAGGCCCAAGTTCTCCCCTTGTTGAACTTTTCAAGGTCTTGAATAGTGACTCCAGCCTTTCTCGCCAGTGAATCACAAGTGTCGCCGTCCTTGATAAGATGAGTTGCGCATGTCCCATCTGCGCTTGGCTTGGGAGGCTCTGGCTTGAAGGGGTCACCAGAAGAGCAACAAACATAGTCGTTCTCTTTCAAGGTGGAGCAAAGGTTCTTCTGTGGATTGTACTTGAGAAAGTCGTTGCCACGGATATTACAGCGAGCAGCCAGGGCTGCGCAGCTGTCACCTGATACAACCTGAATGTGTTTGCAAGTGGCGCGCTTACTGAACAGACTACCAAGAAATCGAGGACTGACATCTTGCGGCCTTGAAGTGGGTTCTGGTGTTGGAGTCGAGGGGGGGTCTTCGGTGTTCTCGAAACCTTTCATGCCAATGATGTCGAACATCTTGACACCTGAGATTCGCTTTGTAGACAGAGAAACTGGTTTCAAAGCACACTTTCCTTCACTCCAATCCATGAGCTGCTTTTGGACCTCCGCAAGATTTCCATGAGCGTTGATGGAAATACCAAAAACTTGCTCACGCTTGCGATTTCCACCGCAGAGTTCGATGGTTGTCAGCTCTGAGGGAGAGCTGCCGGGACGAAACTTTTGAGAAATTGCTTCTATCGCTGACTTTGCAGTCGGCTTCCCGAGACCATTTCCAATGAAAATACCAGCAATGGTCTGCTGATGGTAAGAAAACAGGAAGTTTTCGTCACAGTTGTCCTGCAACTCAAAGAATTTCCGCAATCCTTCCAAAAGCTTGAGAACTCGAGAGCCATCTGTTTTGTCTCCACTTTCATCAAGGAGAAGTTGGACATCAGAAGGCTCTCCATCAATAGCACAAGCAGCAGCGGTTCTCAGAGAACCGCCCTGATAGAGCTTCGACGACTTCTTGGGGTTATCCACAGAAGACTGGGAGGCCGCCATGAAGTTTGTGGAGTTTGGGCCATAGGTACAGCTGCGAATTATCACAGTTGAACCAGGCTGATCCACAGGTTGAGAGACAGATAGCTGCAGCAGCATAGGCTCCTTGCAGCGCTCGAGTCTCTCAGCAGATAGGTAGGTAATCCAACTATGAGGATTCGAATAGTCGGCACATGGAGGTGGACAATCATGTTGATCCGGATAGTACGTATTGATGTCACTGATAGGTGACGGGTCATCCTCATTGACAGGATCGACAGGTTTGGATCCGTCGGTCTTGATAGCGGATTGAACAATGTCCGTTCCCAAAAGAACAGAAGTCCAAAGGGACTTGTTGGATAACCACATGATGGGAAGAGATAAGGAACGATTTCAAATGAGGGACAATTGATGAAATTGAAACAGAAGAAAGTAAAAGATTGTAGGATCGTAACGAATGTGCTTGGAAAGTATTGGACCCAGGGGGGCATTTACACTACATTATATTAATCTATGACAGATCGGACTTTTATGTGTCTATTGACTCCAGATCAAGGGTCTACCAGCCGTATTTCTCTTGCAACAACATCTTAAGCCAGAGGGGGAAAAGGGTAGACCAAACGGCAAGGTCAAGACAAAGGATCAAGAGGTAAAACAGGCAGCTAACAGGCTACACCATCCATCGACCCCAGGACAACAGCACTTCTACAGATACCGAGGCAAGATAGCATCAAGTGCAAGAGAAAGACTCGGCACCATTACCTAAAGGCTCAAAAAACTGCCTGTCAACTCGTGTTGGTTGTTGATGTCGACTCATCCTTGAACAGTCCCGAGCATGGTTCAGCTTGGGGGTCACAGAACCCTCACTCCCTGGCAAAGCTTTAGTCACCAAGGCCCCATTCACTCTTGAGAGTATGAAGTATGGCTATCCCAAAGTCTTGTGGTTGTGAACATGCTCCGCCGACGCCCATGCAAGCATAGCCTCATTCACGGAGTCAGGATAATGTCGTATCGTATATGAAATTAGAGGCACTATTTACCCCACTGAGGCTGAAAAGAAAACCTTGTAGACAGATGTATCTCGAAATTAAGCTGGAGCTGTTGGGCCTGTTGATGTGCCTGGAACACAAGACTCAAGTTGACCACTTTCCTGAGCCAGTTAGACAGAGGGGCAGGATGTAAAGAGTTTAAACCTGAGATGCCTACCATCCTTGATGTGAAGGTACCTTCCGTTTTTGGCGCAGTGGCATCCTTCTAAAGCATGAAACGATCCTGAGCGAATAAACAACGCATGATCCATGTTGTAATCCATGAGGATCACCTTACCTAAATTTCTCGGAGACTTTTGTGCCATTGCGTCCAACCAACATCACCCCTGTCTGAACCTTATACGTGACCGGCTCGTAGATCATTTAACCAACACTTGGGCCTGTCACAAGCAGCATGCTACTGTAGACCCAGGGGCGGCCCGCATTTATAGTGACTTACACTGATTATCCCCTGTCAACAGGGATGTCATAGCTTTGTACCAATACTCTTGGACCCTTAAACGGCAACCCCGCGACTGCCATTCCGCTCTCCACAGTGTTGGTAACCCCATGTTCAAAAACAAAGGTTCCGAGCTGAGTCAAGTCACTACCTTAGTTATGATGGATATTCTCCGTCTCCACGTTTCTTTGGTCATTAGGTAATTCCACAGGCGTGGCGCTTTGTCCCGTCAGAGTCACCATCAATCATGCCTAATGCCCCTGGAGTTCGGCCCTCGGCTTGTTTCTCAACTGCCCCTTGATATGATATCTTATGTCTTTAATTCACACTTTCTGCAAATTTTTATCATTCTATTGTTTTTATCTTAATCATCCTATTCTTTTGGCATAGAACGTTACTCAGTCATGAAGGTAACAACTGCTTTTGTTCTGCAAGTCAGCGTCGCTGCGGCTTCAATCTTTGACACTATTTTGCCTACTACCAAAGGTACCATCACCAGCGACCCATGGCAATGCGCTACTCATACATTTGAGTCGTTCTTTGACGTCCCAAAGCCCACTGGAGCATTGCTCGACGCCATCTTGGACCATGGCGATGCAATTCAAAAGGGTTGCAAATCCACCCTTACTGATGCCATGGGGATGTCTGTTTGCGCGTTCCCTCCTCAATCTGACTGGTGTGCTTTTTCCAAGTCGGCCCCTTCAAGTCTTCTGACGGCGTATTCGTCCTATGGAAGCCTTGCCTCATCTTGGTGGGCCGAGCACAGCTCTGAAGCAGTGGAATATGCAGAATACTGCCCCAACGGTTGGTTCAGTGCCATGACTTCACTCCCCTACGGCGCTGTTTGGCTGAACGACACGATTGCATTTGCTGGCTGTCATGCCGCGGCACATGCGACGGGCAAACCCAAGACCACGCTGAAAGCGACCGCGACTGCTGGCCCGAAGGCCGCTGGCACTGCTCCTGGTGCAACAGCTACTGCTGCTACGGAGAACAGGAATGGTATTGCTGGCAAGCGCGACGATGTTGGTATGTGGGTGGTTGCAGGAACTGGACTGGCTGCAACGGCTGCCAACACACTGTTGTAGATACATGGGAAGAGAACATATCTGGAGGATCTTGAGAGTTTTTGGGGGCTTCAATTTGGACCTATACACTTCACTTCTTCCGTGTCTTTGCTGTCTTTGCCAGAGCAAGGACTGTGGCAAAGGCTGCTCTGTAAGCATTAAATCTTTAAGACATAGTATAGCAAGGTGATTAAAAGAAAGAAATTTAACTACTAAATTAATAACTAATAACTTCTAGGAGGTCAGAAAGCAAATCTCGTGGTGCGAGATGCGCTTAAATTAGCAGCATAGCAATAGAATTACATTACATTACATAACTTCTTATTAGTAATAAATATTATAACTTTTTACTTCTTAAAGTAAGCTAAGAAAAAAGTGTAAAAATAAGCATGTGCTAGCACGTGGAATATGTATGTAAGTCAGGGATTCCCTGCCTGCAGTATTAGCCGCTCGGTAATTGAGCCTCGGCACCCTTAATAAGCATACCAGCCAGCTTGGCTTCTGATCATGTTCAGCTGAAATCCACTTATGATCCACTTATAATGTCACTGGCTGTTGGTTCTGCACAACACCATAGATGGCTTAACAATGCCACAAAACAACTTTGATCCACCTCTAGGATACGTTACGTTGCATAGCACCACTTATTAGAAAGCATCTAGGGCAGACTTCGTGGGTGTGTCCACCTCTCATCGACTTGATAGTTGAGTAATGGAAGACAAACGCTTGGGCGACCCGCCGTATCTCTCAGACCACCATGAAATAACATCGGGCCATGGTAGCGCTATGTCCAGCAATGTGTTGGTAGTCCCCAGTCGTGTATTCCATGTCTTCAACCGCGACGCGAGTAAGAGGAATGCATGAATTTGTATCACCATCAAGGTATATTATGGCGGCCTGCAATAGCTTGGCTTTCTCCGTAGAACGGTTCCAAGCTAGGTAGGTCATTTTGAAAAGGTTTCTCTGGGTCGTGCTACATGGAACTGTTGGGTCTAGGATCTCCAAAGGAACTTCATACAGTTTTGGATCAGGGGCATCGTATCTTCCAGTTTCTTTACATGAGTCACAATCAACTGACTTTGACAAAACACGGTAGTGAAACCTGACCAGACAAAACGTGTATATATCACCAACACAATTCCTTCGAACCAGATCAGAATACCGATCATCTCCCACTTGTTCTTTACAGATTGATTCGCCATGATAGTTCTCCCTTTCGTTGTAGCTTGCCTTATTGGCGGCAGCCAGCTGACTTCGGGCGCTGTACTTCGCCCCCGTGATGGCAAGCCAAAGAACGCGTATGACAAAGACACCACACAGTACTGTACCTGGTGGCTTGACTACGATCAGGATCTATCCTGCGATAGTCTTCTCGGGGATAACTTCATCACAATCAAGCAGTTCCGTCGCTGGGTAAGCCTCATCCTCGACTCCTGACCTGATGAACATCGGCTGATTTATGTACCAACAGAATCCATCTGTTTCTGATGGCTGCAAGGGACTGACTATTGGAAAGTCTTACTGTGTTGAGGCTGCTTTCGAACCTGAGCCTGAGCCTGGGCCAAGTTCGAAGCCGGAGCCCAAGCCCAAGACCACAAAGAAACCCGAACCCTCACCAACTAAAGCAGCAAATGGTACGAGTTATTCACCCACACAGACAGCTCATAGATTTTATTAACTGTCATATACAGGAATCGAGACACCAGCCAACATTCAACCCGGCATGGTCAGCAACTGTGATGACTTCTACCTCGTAAAGCAAGGTGATGGCTGTGCTGCTATCGCCTCAAAACATGGCATCACACTATCTCAGTTTACTACTTGGAACAGTAAGGTTGGGCCTAATTGTTCTGGGCTATGGGCCGACTCTTACGCATGTATTTCCGTCATCGGCCACAGTCCTGCTCCAACAAAGCCCACGACTACGAAAGCCACAGCTACGAATGGGGTCGAAATTCCTTCACCACTTCAAAAAGGCATCGCAAAGAACTGCAACAAATTCCACTTAGTCAAGACAACGACGAGTTGTAAGTCCATTGAAGACTATTACCATCTCCCCCTTTCAGATTTCTACAAATGGAATCCCTCGGTTGGTACCGACTGTCGATCTCTAATAGCTGGCTACCATGTCTGCGTCAGTGTCGTCGGCTGGAAGCCACCTACTCCTACCCAGACTACGAAGGGTAACGGTATCCCTACGCCCACTCCTATCCAAGATAAGATGGTCAACAACTGTAACAAGTTCCACACGGTAAAAGCAACGACCACCTGCAAGTCAATCGAGACATATTATAACCTCCCCTTGTCTACCTTTTATAAGTGGAACCCCTCCGTTGGTACAGATTGCAGATCTCTCCTTGTTGGATATAATGTCTGTGTCAGTGTCGTCGGCTGGAAGCCACCTACGCCAACAAAGCCTGCTAAATCCAGTGGTACCCCCTCGCCTATACAGGCAGGTATGGTTAAGAACTGCAAGAAGTTTCATCTTGTCAAGAAGACCATGACTTGTGACTCTATTCAGAAGTCCTACAAGATTACTATGGCAAATCTCTTGAATTGGAATCCTGCCATTGGATCGAAGTGCACAAGCTTGTGGGCAGACTATTATGTATGCGTTGGTGTATGAAGAATGGGGGAGCTGAGAGATAGGGAAGATGGTGTAAGGGACAAAATTGCCTAATTGGGTTAGATCAGATTGTGTGGGGTGGCGTACCCTAGATCACTGCAACGCTGGATTGTACACCCCCATCAATCGGATTGTGAACCCCCAGCTAAGCCTAATTAGGAAGATTTCCTCCAATCAGGGCATAAGAAAAAAACCCACCCTAACTAGCCACAAGTCAGCCACAAGTCAGCCACAGCCACAAGTCAGCCACAGCCACAAGTCCCACAAAACCCAGTCAAAGGTACCCTCTAATAGTAAAACTAGCTATAGCCCTAGCAAATATAGGCTATTTTAAGCCAGATTGGGTTAGTTAGTTAGGGTTCGTTATAGGCTAAAGGCCGCAAGATAGGGTCAGCTTAGAGTTAGGGTTAGGGCTAGGGCTTTGGGTTAGATATGGAATATATCCTGTTGCTGTTAGTTAGTGTATTTTAGTGAGAGTAACGGGGGTTCACAATCCGATTGGTGGGGGTGTACAATCCAGCGTTGAGATTACTGGAGGCAGTTAATAACAGCCCCATTCACGTGTGGGGAGACCGTTCGCGGGTTTTCGAGTGTTTGCCGAAGAGCTGCACATTGCCAATTAGTTCGAAGTTTTATCAAGGCGAACGTTTTCATTTGGGACATTGATACGTTTGAGTAACTGCAAGATTAATTTTAACCTGATCAGAGTCCAAGACTTCCCGTCGAAAATTCTCATATACTCAGCCGACTATAGGGTATGCGAGATCTCGTCAGAGCTCCAACTTCTTTTGCTTGACACCAGACGGATCCACTAATTGATCCTCATGCAGGGTGCAGCAGCAGAGCGCAATCGCTTTCGTGCCGAAGTCTAACCGTCTTCTTTCTCAAAGAGAAATTTCGCTCCCAAGAAACCCTCAGTAGATAACGAACCTGTGCTTGACGATCAGCATTGGAGGAAGAGTGTACGAGAACAAGGCCACGCATGATAGCAGCGCAACTCCCGCTCTTAGCCGAACATTCCGCTAAATACGGTTATGTGAAACACCACTTTTGCATCGCTTGACAGCAATAGAAGCGCCCAAGGAACCGTTCCTGACGACGACCTTCGCTCAACAACAATCCTCCGACAAACCCTCCCCACGACCGAGTGCGCGCCGCAACGAGCATCTAGAGACCGCTCCTGATCCCTCGATAATAGTGACAAGAAGCAGGATTGTGACGGATGAGTGGAACACCCTGTCTAGGCTTCAACACGGAGGGCCATCAGATTCGTGCACACTGCGCAGAGATTTTGTGACCTGAATCCAATCTCCAGCAAACGCCTACATTCGCAGCGCATCTCTCGTCCTCGCAATGCACATTGGCCCCTCTGAAGCCCGTCCGACTTCAGCAATACACGCCGCCAACCCTCCTGCTCAACACGAGCGCCGTTTGCCCTGCCAATTGACATCGTGCTTTTGACAGAGCGATCTGTTGGACTTGCTTGACATCTATGCTCTTGCACAGTCGACAATGGCCAGGATGTTATCGATCTCATGGTTGCCTATATCACTGGCCTGGCTTCCTACACTGGCCTTGTCGACTGTCGTCAGCTAGTCCCAACATCGATCCGACTGTTCTGCGTCGCCACCCAGGCAGGCTCGTTCCCTCAGGTATCGCCATATCCCTGGGGCAGCTAAGTTATTGAGATCGTCCCGGTCCAGGTCGTGCTTCAGTACCAATCGACCGGTGTCACCATCCGCGGCACACCAGCCACACGAGGCCAAGATGGCGTGACCAAGATCCCCGAATTACCCGACGAGACATACATGCTCATCCACCGAGACGACGACTGAGGAAGCCAAGGATTCATGGCTGGCGACCTATGTGACGGCACCTGGGTATACCAACACATCGTCACCAATACACCCCAACTTCTTCCAACCAGGCCACTTGGCCTGCTGCCAGAAGCTAGACGGCTCAAGGAAGAAGAGGGATATGTCCTTGGTCAGGGTTAATGCCACTGAAGTCCAATATCCGGAGTGCAGGCCCTCTGTGGCAGTTGGAGTTATGGTCAAGGGAGGCTAGTGGACTCCCCTATGAACAGGAACTACATCAACCTGGAATGCCCAATAGTCAGCCATAGATATCGAAGCTGTTGACAGCCTGTATACGATGTTGACAGCTGCTTAGGTGTCGGTAGCCTATCGCGAGAGGCTCTCTTGGCCTGCTTTATGCGGTGGATAAGGTGCTAGAGGTTTAGGATACATACTTGACGACCATTCCCAGCACTGAGCTTTTCTGGATATCGACTGACGAGCTCCCGTCGAGTCTACCAGCAAGCCACATGCGGACTGATGTCCTACACTCCTCTCTGCCCTGCTGGCACCTCTCACCCGCCCACACGCGCGGCGGCGCATAGTGATACACACATATTCGCACTCTACATCTGCAACCAGTTGCTGGGCAGGCTGCGTCCCTGGATTATCTGCTGACCAGACACCCAGTGTCGCAAGGAAACGTCACCGGGAGTCTTTCAACGGCCTTATCGGTGACTTTACAAAAGGGTACTCAGTGCGCTAGCAGGGTATCAGGCTCTTCCCAAGACCAAAGGTGGCTGATCTTGATTGCGGCGGTACCTTGCGACACTCCCACTCTTGCCCAAGACGACGGAAGGAGATGGTTTGCTCCTCTATAGCAGCATCGGAGAGGCGCCCCAGCTGATGTGCCTTTGTGACGAACTTCATGATATTGATAGCAAACGGTCCTTCAGCCTGGCCTGAGAACCCTACCACCCAAAATAGCCCACGGAGCCTGTCACCATGATGATAGAGGACTTCAGCAACCTTACTGGCACGCGGAACCTGACTCTGCGGGAGTTCGTGAGCCAGCAAGGATTTCCCATATTATACTGATTCCTTGTAAACACCGCCTCAATTCAAGGGAAATTTGCGATTGACTTGACGGGGGGAGGGGGAGGGCTTTGGGGTATGCCGTGTTGTGATTTACCACCAGCGACCATTTATCATGTCGCCAGCAGCCAATACCTCCCCCGATATCATCAACACCTCCCAAAGTAGCACACCCTCCGCTGTTCTCATTCCCATCATCACCAAGAACAGCATGGCGCTCAACCCTTTGCTCTTCGAGTGCCTGAAACGGCACCAGCTCCTGTGTCAACAGAGCATCTAAGAAATGGGGGACCCGTGCAAAGTCTACTCGACCGCTCCCGAACTGGGGCCAGTTACTACAACGCGAACTGCCGGCGCAGTCGGTCACGATCGCCCTGCCTGTTAGCGACACGCCCAATACATTCTTCTCTGCCACCCACGCTGCTGCACACGCCTGTCTTAACGATACACTTGCCCAGGAATATCGGCAATGTTTCAACCAGCTACAAGTGGCAATAGTAATACGTAGAGTTGAAGTGGCCCTGATATGTCTTCAACTGAGTATCAACATCTCATAGTAACCAATACCATAAGCCAACAAAGTAACATCAAGAGGTACCAGATAGGTCTTTTCCCGTGAGTCTACATTGCGGGAAATATTAGGCGATCCAAGATAAAGGGATGTGATACTGAGAAAATGAGGTCGACATCACCAGAAGCTTAAGCCTGCAGTCACAACACATTAACATATCCGGCTCCTCAACCATCCAACCAAGCGAAACAGCTCTGGCTGCACTTATATAACTCATTGACCAGCTCGAATGAACACTTCTTGTACCCGGATCCATCACAACCTGGCGACGATGCTTGAAAGGCCACAATACGTAGATGATCGCCGATTCAACAGATAATGACTTGGCAACCAGCTGGGTTTACAATGAGAGTCACAAGACATGTGACTTTCGTCTTCTTTGATCTCTCGTATCATTAAATTTCTGGTATCTGCGCTCGCTCCACTGGCAGCCGTGGCCTTTATTCTTCTACAGGTGGTAACTTTGCTCTCGCAAATAAACTAAGTCTTTTCGTTGCGCACAGGACATGATCGTGAGCCGTGGTTTGTTGCTCAAAGACAGCTTGTACTTGGCTCAGCACAGATCTCGACATCAATAAACTAATTATCTCTCTTCTGTTTCACTAAGCCCCCCTCTTCCTGTGGACCAGCTGCTGGCTTGTCAGCTTTCTGCATCTCGATTACGCGTGCAGCTCGCATCTACGTATAAATCTCCGATAGCTCTGCAGTTTTGCCATGACCCTCAGCCCCATCATACAGCGCTACTGCCGTTAGTGAAAGTCTTGTCAAGCTTTCTGCCTTGAAGCCGGTTCCGCCTTGTCTCTTTCGATGTCGAGAACAACGCCGGTTCTGCATCTTTAACCGCTTGATCGAAACTTCAGCTGCAACTGTGCCAATTACCGACGCCGCCGACATGGCATTCGATATCACCAAAAGGAAAACTTCAAGGTTTTGTCTTTGCCACAACACACGATGCGCCCAGAGACGCCGAAACTGCCACATTCTACTCCCAAGTGTCTATAATTCTTCTATCGAACCTTGACACAGCGCATCAATGACCTCCAAACACAACTTCGGAGTCTTCTGTGACTATTTTGACCAAAGCACCGAAGACTTGATCCATAAATCCAACTATATTCCCGCCGCCGCAGATGTTTCCTCGCCTTCCACTGTTTCTGCCTATCGCCTGTCCCACTTTGCAACAGCTGGCTTTAGTATTGGAAGCAACTATAAAGCCGATGATGTGTTGTTGATTGTGAATGGCTTTGTTGAAAGAGGCGAGTTCGGCGCCCCTGAACCTATCGTCGAAATTGACTCCCGTCTCTGCAGGCGACCATCTTCGTAACCGTATCGCTACAAACCCTTCGAATGAACCTGAGATTGCCTTCCCCAGAAGAGAGGCTTGTTCTCATGCGCCCCCGAGGAACATACTTCATGCCCTGAACTGTGCGATCAAGAAAGGAGACCATCGCCGCGCAAACCGCTGACGAAGGCACCTGGCCACCGCCGAAGAAACCGCCGAAAGTGCTGCGATACCCGGACGAGGCTCTGACGTTGAAGAAACCTTCTCATTCTCCTTCTATGAAGGTATAGGCTGTCCGGGTGAACGTAGCCCTTTCGTATGGCGAATTGGCCTGTTTGAAGACGCAGCCTGCCTGGGATGGTGAGATGGACACGGACTTCCGTCAGGAAAAAGGTCGCTTTGGGAAACTCGACAGCTCCATCCCGGCTACGCAACATATGCCTGTAACTCACTGAGCGGCTCCGATACATTTAGCGCGCCATGGTAATAGTAATCATTTGGTACAAAGGGGTGAACAAACTTCTGGACGAGCTACTGCCGAACCACTGGGCTGATTGGGATGTACAAGGCACGCGGCAACTCAGCCAATGTTTTACGGATGGAGCCAGTCTGAACGCTAACCCTTTGCCTGACATGGCACTACGAGCGTGACCAATCGTATCCTCTTCCGCGACACCAAGACACGTAAAGTCAAGATAACGCTACGACGTAGAGCCAATGAAGAGAGATGTGAGAGACCAAAGAGGCAATAGTCCAGGGTCTGATGAGGGGCCCTGTTGCAGAAGTGGGCGCCTGATAGAACGAACCTCATACCTGAATCATGAAGAAGTGTTTGTAAGAGCAAATGTGTAGTTTCAGGCGCGTCGTTAAGCTTTCCTCAATACCCATAGCCTCGCCCCTTTGTAACCTCTCTACGAATGCCCCTGTGCTGAAATGGAGAGCTGGTCAAGCAGCATTTCGACGTTAGCAGTTCTTGACAAGTGCAGCAAGTACCGAGGGGGAAATAAAGCTGTTGGTAAAACAATGTTAAGGACTGAGTATGGAGGTCAATGTATGTTAAAAACAATCTCGTTGATACACGCCTCATGTGTAGGGGCGGAGAAAGCTCATCAGACGCATGCGATGATTTCAGCATCGAGGTGCAGCTTCTTTGCTTCAGTGGGTTCCATTATAGGGCACCTCCACTAAAATCTAGCGACATCACCCAAGGAGTGGGGCCAAGTGGCCCAGAGCGGGCAACCATTTCAAACTCCCCTCCTTCATCATCAACAAACGACCTCTTCCTTTTCAATCAGAGACCGCGAGCAGCACAAACGTACATCCGTCGCTTCTACCTTACTATTTACACTACTCGCATATCAAACTTCAACGCTATGCTCGTCATTTCCTCTAGCCCACGTTCCTTGACGCGACAACATCGTACCGAGCTTCACCCACGACGCGAAACCTTGCCTAGAGGCCGAAACAGCTTGTCCCGAAGCCACCGCTACCGGCGCTGAGCAGGTCAAGGGCGCACCACTCGCAGCCAGTCATAAGGAACACGAAAAAATAACCTCAGTTGGTTAGTTGTATAGATGGAGTGATATTCAAAAGCGGACGGAGAACCTGTCGCTTCAGCATCCTGAGCCTAAAATGCATCCTCCGACACGCGCAGCAGACACCTCTGGGCCGTCCTCCTCTGGCCCATGTTGCATCTCCAGCCTCACATCTTTGAGATTACTTCAAGCGAACCTTTTTTAACAGAACGCGCCTTCTTCGACTTCCTCAAGACCTCCTCTCTCGAATGTTCCTCTACAGTCCACCCGCAATTGTACCGCACTACAGACCAGCGCCAAGCGCTCGATAAGCTCTTCACAGGTCAGCGAGCCACTACAACGACCAAGACGCGAAACACCAACAGCGTCAATTTTACAAGTTTATCGCTGGGCTCAGCCGTATATGGCATGGGCTGGAACAGGCTGCATATACCCAAGAACTGAGGGGCATTGTGTTGTTGGACACCATCTCCTGCACCGGCTTGTTCAATTTCGCCACGATCTCTATACTGCGCAAGGGAACACCCCGACTTTTCGCCTCATAGCATTCTCTCTAGCGTCATTCAGGTTGGCCATCCTGATAAGCCTCGTGGTTTGTGATCACTGACGAATGAACAGCGCAGAGTCACCGCCCGGGGCCCAGTCATGTCTCGAAAACATTCTCGCCGGCTTTGACCACGGTTGAGTCGTTACGTTTTGAAAGCCTATCACCCGTCGGGTTCCTTGAAGTCGCGGCCAGCTGTTCCATCTTCCATGGCCCAGATCTTCGCAGCAGACGGGCTTCTCTGCAAACCCCGCTGCGGGCCACGGCGCTGTAGGGCTCTGCTTATGTGCGTCACCTCTCGGAGAAGGCTCTGGCTCCGCCTCCTTAGGGGGCTGTGGGTCGGGAAAAGAAGGGTGCTCATCAGTGAGCCCTTTCATTTTGCCAAAGACCGCAAGTTTGGAAGCCAAAACAAGCCAAGAACGATTAACGACGACATCTCAGGCGGGGACTGAGCAGTCTGTGACATGAGTCGACATTGGAAGACTGCAGAAATACACGAACGAGACTACAATGCGAGCGCCAGATCGAGGAAACCCGAGACCGAGCGAACACGCCTTTCCCCCTCTACGAATCGAATGGACCAACAAGCAGAGCAATACTTGATGGCACATCCCCACGCTTCAGCATTTTGCAAACCTCTCTCCGTCTGCTAAAATGCCGCTCCAACGTCAACAGAGTCGAACAAGGCACACCCTGAGGGCTCAAAGGAGGAAAATGATAGCCTCCCACAGCATTTCACCTGTCATCATTGGTAAGACAACTCCCTGAATTTTGTTGTCGCTCGACAAGGAGTGTCCACTCGCTAACAACGATCATCACAGAGCCTTTGTTACCATCGCTCTCGATCCGAACCCGCACCACGAGCCCGCCGCAAGAGATCATCGCCGACTCGCCATCGCCTACTGTTGTGTTGGTTCAGCTTCTCAGACGTGCACACACCTTCCGTTGGATGTGGCTAGTCTAGTTGATGAAGCACACCGCCATTGGGCTGGCTGTCAAGTGCAATCCAGCTCAAGCGCTCTCCTTTTCTGCAGGCTTATGATTTGGGCTTGCGACTCAGAAGGCACGCGAGAACAATCTCGAAATACCCTCCAACGAAAACCTCACGGGTGCGACATCACCGACGCCGAATTACCTCCCTTTACCCTTGCCTTCTAACGGAGAGGTCATTCTCGGCACTGCCTCCTCACCAATCCAACAAGGCCTTCTTGACCAGCTTCTTTGACATCGCTCTAGACGACATCGAGCGGACTGTATTATACCTAAACCCGATCAAGGCAATTGAAGTGACGTCTTGCCGATCGTCAAGACTGAGATGGGCGATCTGATCCTCGATGCCAAGTATCGTAGCAAACTCTATCTTGAAGACTTTGTCCTGAGTGTCACGACCCGCGGGGGTTATGTACATCGCAACACGACACTGCTGTTCACCCAAGAGTAGGAGTAACCGCCTGAATCGCCGTTTTTTCGACATTCTTCACGAGTTCATCTTCCTGAAGAGCGATATAATGGCGATTGTCGTTCTTCAGAGCGATCTTGGCTGACTCGACCACTACCGGTACAGCGGCGTGATCTCCTGGAGCAATTCGTTACACTTCATCGACCAGTTGCCATGGAGTGCCAAGGAGGTGAATATTGCCTTCTCGGACCTGTACTGGATCTTCAGCTTGGTGGGGAGCGCATGATCTGTTGCCTCGTCACCCCAGTCTTCTGGTTAACCTTCCTGCAGTGGTTGGACAGGATCATGATCATGATGGGGGTTGTGATCAGCCCCCAGACCCTCAAGGCATTATCTGTGAGAAGCCCACTGATTACCTAACCACAAGAACAGGCGAGCAAGTCTCTACAAAGCAGTCCCAAGAGATACCGGCCCCCAGGCTTATGTGCCCCCATGGAGGGCATCCCCAGATCATGACGGAGGTTATGTGTATATCCCCAAACACTCCAGAAATCTGTAAGACGCCCAGCGAATACGCCACCACGAGAGCCAGCGCGGAAGTCTCTGTACGAAACATTCCCATGAAATACCGAGCCACCAACGTTCCAGTGCTACAACATAACGCATCCCCGCGATTCCTCTACATCCTTCGTCTTATTGTCAGAGAGGATCAGCTTCCACTAGCTGGCATTATATACAGGATGTGCACGGTAGCGCCCATCTTTAGGTATGGGACGCTGTTGAAGATCGACGGGGGCGCAGGCGCAAAGATGGTGGTGCGAGCACAAGTCCATGCATACCAACCTGGACAGGTTCAAGAAGTGTAGCAGAGATCCCGGACACATCTATGAAATCGCTATTCGTGAACGAGCTGGAGTTCGCGGTGCCCATGCAGCCACTCACGGTCCACTTGAGCAAGGCGGCTTCAGTCTACGTGAGGAATAGCGTTTTGACCGTGTACAACAACATCGCGACAATGGAGATCGCTTACCACTCCATGGATAACGACTCCTAGAAGACACTTTCCAAGCCCATGAGGCCGATGACGAAGCTCTACACCACGAGCAGTCCGATCAGGAACATCACGATCATTGACCACGATGCGCGGGGACAGACGATAAGTGGTACGCAGAGGAGAGGATACTCTTCCTACGCATGAAGGGTTGCTCGGCCCCTACCACGCCCCGTAATCCAATGTGGTCAGGAGGATCAGGACCCTCGTAAGGACGGTTGCGTTGAGAACCTGTATGAAGACTATGGAGATGACGGAGGATACTGTGGACTCGGCATGTGAGGCTGAGTTGTCGTTGGGGAGCGGGATCCAAAGGTTAATAGGTTGTACGATCATGGTCACTGAGCTGTGCGTCAGGAGGATAATCTAGACCTAGAAGATGATGGACCTGGAGGTGCTCGTCCTTTGACTATGTCTATATTTCCAGATTAGTTTCCCTCAGTTACAGCGTCAATTTCCGTAGCCGCATCTCTCCTCGGCATTTGCTCGTTCCCAAGACTTATCAGCGTATTTCTACAAAGTCTATTCTCATTAACGCCGCTACTGCTTCTCACTTTATCTTTTGGTTGGGACGTGCACTCGCGATGAAAGAGGCCATGATGGCAGTGGACCCCATAACTTCTATCAGGTGATCCTCAGTCAAACGACCAGCATCAAAGTGCACACATTCCTCAACCAGAGTATTGATTGCTCCTCTGACGTAGGTGTTTAGCTTCTGACTTTCACGTGTCAGTCAGCTACGGTTCCAAGAGCGACAGAGGACATACGAAGATCGGCGTCAATTTGCACACGCAAACTCCAGTCCCATGGCTGACTCTTCTGTATTACAAGAGTCAGATCCGTTTGCTATCAAGAGCTTGTACACCGGCAGTTATATTATCGACGGTTAGGTTCTTGATCACATTGATATCACTGCCTCTGTTTTCATACATATATCTTCCTCTCCTCCGGGCCTCTTGAACCTCTGGTACAATATATTTATACACATAGGAATAATTATGAGAATAGACCGGTATATTCGATACGCGAAGAATTTAGATACACAACGTATAGTGCAGATGATGAGACAAGTCCTCCCTATCACGCATAGAAATAGATATTATAGAATAACAAGACAGTTCATTATATCTCTAAGTCCCTTTATCCAGAAACAAAACAAGAGAAAGAAAACAAATAAAACACCCCATACGTATCATCAAGATCTCAATCCGCCCTGTAAAGATCTTTCTCCTCGTCGTTATCTACTTCTTTGTCGTCTCCCTTATCGTCTCGCTTGTTCGTTTCCCCTTTCGCCCTCGCCTATATCTCGCCCGCCCCGACTCTCAGCAACCTCCCCTTCAGTGAGCTTATACAAAAGTCCCATGTCAACAGTCCTTGCCTGAGTTGTCAAAACCTCAGTCTGCCTTTGAATCGCCCCCCTTCTTGCTTTCAGCCTCTCCTCCTCTCTATCCAGCTGAGCCATACTGTCCCTCGCCTCTTGAATGCCCTTCCTGATCAAGAGCCCCCTTCCGAGATTCCAAAGCTCCGTCTTCCTTTTCGCAAACTCCTTCAACTCCTCTTGATACTTTGCTTCCTACTCTTCGAAACTCTCGTTGGCCGCTGCTAACCCCTCGGGCCCCAAGTTGAGTATGGCCTTTTTCGTGCCTTGGATAGTCTCGTTACTCTCATACCCAAGGATGGCCTCATTGTATTTAAGCATGATCTTTCTGGGCTGGAGCCGTAGTAAATGCTCCTCCTTTGACTCGGGCTCTACCCCGACTGACCTGCGAGGTCTTCTGGCCGGTTGAGGGAGCTCGGTGCTGGTCTCCTGCTGAGAGGGTCGTTTCGGTGTTTGGTGATGATGAAGAGAGAAGGAGAAGGCAGGAAAGCCCAAGAGGGATAGGTCTTGTCGTCTTGTCTCGTTTACCGGTCTTTCGCTTAGTTTCTGAAGTATGCCTTTTGCTGTGTGTATATGAAGGTAAAGACAAAGATTGCGTGGAAAGTCACGGAAGACCTCCCGTGTCCCCTGCGATTGCGAGGCCTTGGATCAGGATACCTAAGTAGTCTGCCCCAAGTCCGTCGGAAAGTCTTATTATGTACTACCCCAGAACTTGTATGCTTAGCGTCAGATACTGTCTACCTCACGAAACATCTTTGAGGAGAGTGGAGCGCGGAAGTCATTGCTGTCAAGTCTGAGGCTCAATAGATATTGGATGCTCGCGCAGTCACTGAGTAAAGGGACCCAAGGTCCTCAACGCGCCATAACCCAACTTCCGTACTATTGGTGCGAAACTATCACCGGTTGTCCTACCACAACTATCGGCCTGTTGAGGACCTTTAACAAGCGGATATCTTGGTAGCTAATTGTAACTAACGTCCTGGTCTCACCTTTCACCTTACCCTCCACCCAGATACCAGGGTTGTATTTACGACTAGCGTTTACATATTCAACTCCAAGTACTCAGAATTAGGCCACACAATCGGCTACGATACTACTGCCAACAAGCACTAAACGGAAAATGCCCATTGTGAGCACCATGAGGCACGTCCGATTACACATAGACGCCACTGCTAAGTAAGCGCCACCCCCACCGAAGAGTGCTGTTATGGAATACACTCCCCGCAGGGTATCAGGGGCAGAAACCCGTTTCCACCAACTTCACGTCAAACGTGCTCTGACATCCTCAAGATGCAGGTCTTCACACCCTATCTGCATCCTCCGGTCGCACAAGACACCCCCCTCGCAAGACCTTGTCGCTCCGACTGTCAGTCAACCGTGCAAAGTAACGCTTCCCGACCAGTGTTGGTAGGCACCAAAGTGGACGGACACATCCTGGGTTTTGCATCCTCGTAATACAGCCGCTCATCAATGTCCTAGCATAGAAAAAACTGGCTGAAGGTACATGTCGAATAGATTGCGTCGCCCCTGAAAAGTGAAGCTATTCGCAGTTTGGTCGTAGCCAAGCAGGATTAGGTCATTCCCAAGCTATTGGCGGGTCACGATCCGCTCGAGAATGTCCCAGGCTCGCCATTTAGCGCAAGAACATGGCTTACTTGAGTAGTCTCTCAAACCTGACCAACTACTTTCTGCATCGTCCTTGAGGCTCATCAGCCTTATCGCATGGCATGCTTGGCCACTACATCCAGGCCATGTGCATTAATTGACACGTGGGCGACCCCGGCGCCTTGCGTGGCGACTGCAAGGTCAATCAGCCAAAATTTGCAGCGGTGCATGAGCGGCAGTTTCAGGTACCTGGCTCTATAAATACAGCGGATAAGCCCTAAAAATCTCACTCACTGGCAGGTTGACCCTGCCATCCATGCTTGGCTACTTTGGCAGGATGTTGGCCATTTTTCTCGCAGTACCGGTGCGGTGCCTAATCTTCGAGCTTCTGATGAGCCACCAGAGTTGTCAGTACTTCAGTTAGCTTGGGAATCTTGGGACGGCGGAGACGGCCTGAGACCAACTGTACTTTAAGATATTGGAAGTTCCTGTGAGATGCTCGTTCTGAACTGGAGTAAGGCTTGGCCACTGAGAGCAACATTGACTACGAAGACTAGCAGAAAGCTGAACAGCAGAGTCTTACAATGCTATAGGGTATCACCGAACCGTCCTTTCTTACTTGTGGGAAAAGATACTGGCGATGATGTAGCTAGGGGTTGGGTTGGCGCTCATCATTCCGATTTCTTGGAGAGCTAAGTAAAAACCTATCTAATCGTTCAAAGGTAACTGAATTGCATTAGAGAAAAGCTGGGGAGGCTATATGTTCTTGAGAATGATCGTTAGTTGCCTTTCTATGAGGCAGCCCCCTGATCCAGGAACACCACATGACACGCGAGTGTCCGTCACCAATACGATGGGAGCCTCTTTGTATCTAGAGCATACTTAACCCAGGAGCTCTTACCATTCTGCCATTGATAGCGTTGGTAAGACACTGGTCACCGTGAACTCAGCGTCTGCTATCTCCATGCATCTCCGCTCCAATTACCGCAGACACACGAGGGTATCTAAAGTCCTTCAGCAAGAGCTTGGCAAGAATGCCTAGCGGAAGCCATACCTACACCAGTCATCAATTAGTTGAGGTTCATATGGAGGAAGTAGCAACACATTGCCAGAGGAGACCTGTGCCATCTCGAGGTGCCCGAGATCAAAAGACGGCTCTAGCTGAAGTGCTGATCTTAGTTCAGTGATAATGCACTTTAATAACCACAAGTGAATAAATGGATCCTTGTGAGAACATGGTAACCAGAAACGCGAGCAGTGACTCGTGCTGCTGGAAATCAGGCAGAGGCAAGACGATGAGGTTGACGAAAGAAACAACGAACCTCGCGTCTGTAGGGAACATTGGGTAATGCAGAGCAGATAATTTCTGCCAGAAAAGCTAGGTTCCTTTTGGCGGTACCTAACTGAGGCGATGTGCTGATGACCAGCTAAATATCGAGTCGCGGCAGATTGATGTCCGACACGTTGCAGATCCAAGAGAAGAGTGCGCATGCAAATGAAGATGTTGTATCCAATGACAATACCTCGCCTCGTATTCCCAAGTTCTCCTCTAGAGTAACCAAGAACAGCTTTGATCAAGCGCGATGTCAGAGGACTACTCAAGGGCGTTGCGAGAAGGTCGATGTTCCAACAGGATACCCGCGTGGTCATGTTCCCATACGCAGCCTTTTGGACATTCACGAGTCTCTTCAACGTGACAGAGAGCTGGGCTTTTAGAAATTGATGGGGCTAGTCTGTATGTATAACCGCAATAACTTGAAAACATTGGGGGCTCGTTGTGTAGCTAGGACGATGTAGCGATAAGCTAGACGCTGTGTTGTATACCGTCTCGAGTTTATGGCTTGTTTGGGTAAAGAGGTCCAGTATCTTGAGATAACAATTGATGTCAGTACTGATGAATAGCGGGAATAATAAACTCACACTTGCACCACGGAATCAGACTTGGCCCTTGAAGCTTCGATCTGTAATTGTACGATAGAGCATGAAGGCCGTCTCGTGACCTAGGCCTCTGTATTGTTTTTGGAGCACAAGATATAGATCATGTGATATGGATCGCGGCCGGCCGTCCATTTCGATCTTTGGGAATAAGGTTGTGGGTAGTTTAAAGAGGCTTCAGCCTCCAGCGCACAAACGTAAAGAACACCAATAAACACATACGGGCAAGATACTCATTACCCTTGCTGTTGCCTAGGATTTCGATCTTTGAGTCTTTTCAAGTGTCATGGATGTAAAATGCGCCGCGATATCTCGACCCGAGGGAACTGGTTTGAGAAGTCAACATCAGCTAATGGGTTCAATAGTTGAGATCCTGTAAGGACATCGCGTCAATCACCAGCTCTGCAATAAAGATGAGTTGGGTGCTTGTCTTGTTATCTGGCTGTGCCGGTACTGATCTCTTTGACTCTCAGTAGTATGGCAATGACCTCGATGTTAGATTCTACGTACTAGTAGTCTCCACGGCATCGAGAGGAACGTGTCAAGTCAAAGAAGGAGAAAAGAGAGAAAGTTGTCCTACGGGCACTACAGAGATCTTTTAGACGTCCATGTTATCCCAGGGTGAGGCTCTTCATATAAGATCCCTTCACATTGAGGGGATGTGTGGGAGCGAATATGAGGTATGAAAACAAGTAGTGATGAACAATGGGTTGCAATCCTCAGCCTCGGTCTCAACGAGTTCAATCCCGGGCTTGCTCGTCATCCTCAAGCCGTGTTGGCGCATCGTCCACTTCCATAACCACCTGCTTCTTCCGGATTGCTTGCCGACAGCACAGAATATCATCAACGTTATTGTCGGCAATAATATCCAGAAACAACTCCTGCCGGTGAACACTCCACTCTGTAATCCCATCAACTCCCAAATATGACAGGTTCTTGAGGCCGCCAATGATAGCCGCCTTGTCCTCAAGCTTTGCCAAAGCCTTCTGTTGCAGTTTAACAGCGTTGAGGGCATCGGATCGCTTCGATTCCTCTTTCTCTAGCGGACGAATCTTGTCGCTAAGCTCTGGAAGACGGGCTTCAATCGTCGGTTTCTCTCCATCAAGTACAGAAATCGCATCTCGGTGTTTTCGGTGTTCTCGGCGTATTACCTTTCGCTTTTCGCGCTTGATTGCGTTTTGGCGGTCACGTTTGTTCTTTGCGATGCTCTTGTGCTTTTCCTCGGCATTATCGCGCTCGGAGGTAGCATTCCGCATTGCGGTCCAGGCACGATAATGGTCCAGGCTTGCCGTACTGTCCTGATTGGCACGGGCTTGCCTTCTGACTCGTTCGTCTTCGCCTTGTTGTATCTCGTATAGCGAGTAAAGAAGCTCGTTACATCGTAGAGTGGTCGTTTAGCCTAGGGTTGGTGCGGTTTGAACAACGTCGTCGGGCTCGTCTGCTGAATGATCCAGGCCTAGGGTTCTGTAGGGTTTTCGCACTTAGTCCTAAGCATGGCCTATCCGGCTGGTCAGTTTCTCGAATCACTAGGACAATATTTCTATGTTATAGCACATACCCTGCGTTATGCGAATGGGTACTCGCCTCGCTGCCTGCCAACAGGTGTGTGCGCTGAACGGAGTGGAGGCATTGGAACAGACGTGATCAATGTGGTGTTTCTTGGTCCCGTGGGAAACCTTGAGGAGTTTAAGTGATATGAAGGGCTTAGAAGTTCAGGCTGAATAACGAGTCAACAGGCTCACGGCGATCTGAAGTGTTCAAGAGTTTAAAGTGGTGAAGATCGATCCGATGGAGTAGACTTGGCCAGTATCTAATTTTGAAGTTATGTAGGGGGCCTTGTTAGCTCTACATGTAAGTCGCTGCCACCACCAACTATATCTCGAGCTCTCCATTCGTTCTCTTCAACTTGCGTAGTCGTGGATGCATGCATGATATTGGCGGGCCAAACAGCGCAGTGCCACTACAAAAAAGCCCAATCCTAACAGATCTAAACGACTCGGCTCTTTCTTCGCCGTGCCCAAGGCCACTCGTCAAGATCATTATGGTTACGTACACAGCCAAGGGTCTGTCTGTAGTCCCTGCGATTTAGGTATTTCCAATAATCACCAATCTTGACCGATCCCCTGCTCACCTGTCGAAATGAACCGTCCTTGCAGCGCAATGATCAATAGACGCGTGAAACTGCAGGTCACTCTGTCTCGTGTGCGTTATCACAGCGCTCATTTGGCCCCTCGCCGACCGATGACTTCCGAAAGGACTCCCTCCCCCGCCCTGATTTGAGCCTACGGCCAAGCTCGAGATAATGCTTACAACACGCTCGACTTTCTGGAGGGGTCACTCAAGAGGAACACAATTCCATGGCTTGACCCGCTACTAACCTTTGTTCTTTGGCGTTCCGTCCAAGCATTCTTCGGCTTTGATCATGCTCCGTTGTAAACATCGCTTGTAGTATCAACAAGGGTTATACCACTAGCCTGTTGTCGGCCACCAACTAGACCGATTTCACATCTGAATCGTGTAAGACGATTGGCTGATCTCTGACTACGTCCCTGTCTTGTAGTGGAGGGTCACCTAAAGTTGGCGATGAGGCTTGATGATTTCTTAAGCCAACCTGACTCGATTCTGCGACATAGAAAGCGTTGGGATTCACGATAGAGCAGCGGCTGCTGTACTCAAGTGTACAGTGTCATTTCTAGGCCATATTGGCAGCCTGATCTTCATAGTCTTCCCGCGGTGTTGGCCTGCTCCTCTGCCAGATCAATTGATGATCCGAGAGTTCAAGCGTTTTACCCACCACTACTCTGTCCCGAAGGAGGTCACAAATCCAGATTGCCAGAGCTCCTTACGGCTCTCGGCAAAAGTTGGAACTTTGCTCACCTTAATAATTCCGTCAGCCTCTGGTAAAAGAAAGAAACAAGTCAGCGCAGCTACTGAAACGTGGCCCGGTGTTTCCTTGTCTACACGCCATCAAAGATTGCAGCCGTGCAGAGCAAACATCCCGTATCCCGTTTGAATAGCCTTTGGCCTCTAATTTTACTAACATGGCCCTTCTGTGGTTACCCGCATTAGCACTGGATGTTTGAACATTCACTCTTAGCCCCATTTTTGACACAGGATACACGTCGTCTCTGCAACTCGTCATGACAGGCAGGTATCCGAGACACAATTTTATGGATCTGCATTCTCACCATTTGTTGTCAATAGGCAGCAATCTCATCCTCTTGAGAATTAGGGCTTCGGTGTTTTTGACTTTTGACATCTTCATCAACACCTGCCAATGCGACTCACTCAACAAGTTCCTCAATCAGATCGCACGCCACAAGTCATCATGTCCAAGCTCTCGGCTGAAGAGTATGAGCTTAGAGCCCTTAATGCTCAGATTCAAACCACTCTCTACAACATTAATCCGTCTTCACGATTCGCAACACTCCTTCAAGAGGCGATGGTCACCATACGACGTCATCAAGAGTCACGCGCCTGCCGAAGCTCCGAAGGATTGATGTGCGAGGGAGCTGAGGATGATTCGCTCATCGCCACGTCAAGCAGTACCGATGCAGACTCTGATCAGGTCTCTCTTTCTCTCGCATCTACTAGTTCCGACGAACCTGAGGGAGAAGAGGTGACTGCAGATGCGGCGAGTTCAGTGCTTGGGACGCACTTAGACCCGGCCCCGACCGCCCAAGAGTCTGCCGCCATTAACGAATATCCCACTGCTGCCGAAACACGAGTCGAGGCTTGGCCGGACGAGACCACTTCTACATCTTCTGATACTTCAAGCGAGGAGGCGGACAGTAAGAAGCGCAACTTTGATGATGATGATAGCGACGACGACGATGACAACAGATTCACCCCACTGGGGAAGCGAGTCAAGTCTTGAGTATACGACGCATCTTCTGCTGCTCTGTCTTGGTGGTAAAGGGAAATTGTACCTCAGTGCTCGAGTCTATCGCACAGTGGAAGATCCGTTAGCTGTAGCAACAAGGGCAATGGTTCATGAGGTCCCTCAAGCAGACGCGGAACGGTACATTGACGGGGCTGAGCAGATACATGTTGAAGAATCAGGGTGTCGGCATAGGGATTCCATATGTAGAACATGAATTGATTGAGTGTTATCAATCTGCGTGCTCAAATTGAATCAATATTACCAGATCTCAACGCTCCGTTCTCTGTACAAACACCCACTGGGAAATGATGTTGGGTTAAAGTTGGAGGTGTTTACAGCCACTACAGACATCCATTCAACCTGCTCTAACCAGATCATGCTCCAAAGAGCACATTTAGGTACTCACGATTTGTTTTCTGAGGCGAAATAAGGTTCAGGAAGAGATAGGTAGCATTTGCTTTCCAAGATCAGGATGTCTTACAGTCCCCAATGTCATGGGAAATTCGGACCTGACGCTCTCACCGTGCATTCCGTGCTGGAGAATGTGCAGGGTGCAGTATCTCGATTCGGTAGCGTTGGCCCCGGCTTAAAATCAGCGTGGCCTGCGAAGGCAGTGCTAAAATGAAGTTTAACGAGTTCAATACTGATCAAGCTCGACGGTTTGAAGGGTCTCATGGGAGAAGGCCCATTGGAGCTATTTAGAGACACTAAAACAGTTAATAGTAGTAGAGAAGTGTATGTCATTTATTCCGCTCTATAGACGAGTAGTGAATCTGACTACGCTGCTACCGCAAAGGAAACTTGCGAGCTTTCCATCGCTGTTCATATATCACCACTATCCTGGTCCACCTTCAAGTCCCCGGTCGTAACTCGCGCAGTCACACTACTAAATTACTTTTATAGGTGTCCCCCAGACTTAATACTGATCCATCAGCATCAGGGTCTTCAGTATCGCGCAAATGTCTCGGCCTCGGCGTTGTCAGACACCTTTGCATATGAGACGCGACATCCAACATTCGGCTTCCCTCTCTTCGTCTACATTCCCGAACGATCGTTCCCTACATTCCATTCTCAACAATCTAACCAGAGAAACGAGTATTGCTCTTTACTCTACAACGTATCAAGCCAGATCTTCTCCATACTCTCGTTCCTTTCTGGTCCGAACTTGAACAATCGAATCCGCAGACACAGCAAACAAGACCATAACGAGCGCGATGGCCAAGCCTCGTCATATTACGGTCTAGATAGCTGTTGTTACTGAGCAAGATGTCATGAAACTGTGCGGAAATGGGAAACGCATCGACAGACTCTCTATGTCTCGTCAACTTCACTCCAGCGCATCTTGGTGCGTAATAAGGAAACTTTTACATCTAAGGGCTCCATAAGAGAGTTGTTCCCGGCAAATTTGCGTGCCCGCTCATGGATGCAAAGCCATCCGCCATAAGTCTCGGTTGTCAAGCATGAGAGAGCACCAAGGCCCTCCCGACTTCTCATAAGCCACGGCCGCAGCCGCCACGACCGACGACAAGCTCAAAGCACTATGGCTAGCATTAAGTGGCAAGCTTTTTCTTTAGTGCACCCTGAACTAAGGATCTCCATGTTAGCAACTGGGTTGGGAGGCTTGGTACCGTAATTATACATAGTGTGGCAATGACATTACCGCCAACAGTCGCAAATCACTCGGGAACGACTATCTTCCAGCACCGATGGTATCACGCCCAGTCAGGTCAAAGTATATTGGCGAGGGCCTGATGATTGTGACGGAGCTCTATTTCAGGAGTGATTGTAGTACAACCTCTTGACAGAGATTGTGATTCGCAAGGCCTACTTCAAGATCACTGCGTCGTTCTTCCTCCACCGTATCGCGGGACCCCCGTATCCTTGCTTTCGTGAAAGACATAGCATTGTCAGATATGTCGGGATAAACACTGATTGATAAAATGACTAAAGAATGTGACGGCCATGATTCACGGCGTCAAAACAAATGCTACACAGACCCAAGGGCCAGGCCAAGTTCAGGACATCAGTCTTTCTTGTGTCGACAGAGTGCTTGCACCCGCAACCATACAAGCGCCTGACAACGATATGCTGGACGAACTCCGACTCCTCACCAGAATGAAGCGAAAATACTAGAACGCCCGCACTGGCTTCGTCCATGATATTGCAGATAGATCGCCACAGGACAATATTCGCTGAGGCTCATCAAGCGAAGACAGAACGCGGCGGGGAGTGTAGTAGACTGGCATAGCAACCCAGGACGAACCTAAAGATGACATGAGAGAGGGGAATGAGAGCGATGACAAAAGGCATAAGAGAAGTCAGATACGGGGTAGAACAAAGACGCAGCGAACCTCCAAGACTGCTCGACCCGAGTTCAGGATCCTGCATATTTACATTGGGCCCTTCTTCACTTTCAAGAGTGGCCTGCAGATAGTAATGCTCACATCGACACTTTGTTATGTCTCACGTTCGCATCAAGTGAGGATCTCTGGTTTGAGACGCACCGATATCATTCTGTCGCCACCGATTCGAGAGCTCAGGCGACAGATTCTCGGTATAGCGCGAATTGGCATCCGGCTGTACAGTCTGAAAAGTTGTGGTTAGGATGGCTTCGGACCATCCAAGACACTCCCCTCTCCTCGATGAGCAAGGGCTGACAAAGCGAGGTATAATTGTACGGGATACCTCGGATCAGAGCCTAGGATATGCTTCATTTGCCGTCAACGCAAGAGTTGCGTGATGGTGTCACGGAGCTTGACCCACATTCAACTGCAATCGCATCTTGCCAAAAGAATCCACCAACTTATGTCGAAGTAGTTATGAAGCTCCGAGGCCACCGCGAACGATGCATTCCTCAGCTGCTATCGGGACCGTTTGAGTCCTGCAAATAGACACCACGGAGTCCCCTGAGAACATCGTGCTCTGAATTGTAAGTCGGCGATTTCTATCACACAGACCATTAAGCATTGATCTGAGAGCTTCCTACAGAGAATCCCCCTCAAACTCTACTAGCCGCGTATATTCGACACCTGCGTTGAAGGTAGGGCTACCTAGAAAGCGGAACATCATACAGTTGAACCGAGTACGAAGTGTGGCTTGGTCCAGCGAGATCAAGTGCGATATGGAAGAGAAGAAGAGCACCGACGTCAAGAAAGGTAGTGGTGTCAACTGGTGTCAACTGATGCACAGAGATGTTGAGAAAGCTAGATGTTGACTTAAAAGATATATAATTGTTCTTGTTAGTGGCTTCGATGTGCATAATGAACATCGCAGCGAGCTCATCTCGGTCCTTTATGCCTAGCAGTGAATGGACTAGGTTCTGGCATCTCAACTCATTGTCGCGACGAGCCTCTCTGTCGAGCTCACGGGTCAGATTCGGTGATTACATAGGAAGCCTGGTCGCGTATCACCTCACTCTATGGACTCAGAAGCGCATCAAATCAAGTGCTACCCCTTCGATGCTGATGCACCCTTTCAAATACCAGCCTCAGCCTAACTCTGCCCTAAGTACAATTTAGACAGCATTATATCATTACCTCAGATTTGGCTGTCTGCTCGCCGAATGCCTTCGTCCTCAAACCGAGTACAGCGATCTTCCAACCCGCATCTATCCTGACTGCCACCATGAAGACCGCCCTCTTCCTCTCTGTCGATGGCTCAGCTGCCGTTGGAATCATCGCCGAGGATTTTAAGATTGAGAGTACTCTTCTCGTTATCTGCGGCGGCACAGAGAAGGGAAACGGGGATCGGATGTACTACCGGGATACCCTCAAGGACTTGGGCAAGCAATTCTCCGAATCAGCTCATCGATTCGTCAATGCGCCCTGGTATCCTTATTGTAAAGGACCCAGGCTACCTCCGATAGGATGTCACTGGATGCATCTATTCGGAGCTTCTCTTAAACTACACGAGTCGGCAATGATGCTTTGAATTGGACTAGGTGCATCTCAAAATGGACAGTAGTGATGTCCTTGGTGATTCTGAGGCAAATTGCGGCAATACCACAAGAAGCCGGCCTTAAACTAACTATTTCTATGCTCTTACCCACGGGAAGTATGCAACGGTGCTAGTTTGGCTTAATATATATAGTTTGACCGACAGTCAGGGCCACCAACCTAGCACTCTTAGCTCTGGGCTAAACATATACTAACTTGGGCATGCAAGATCTTAACTGTCGTCTTGAATGAGTGAGAAGACCTCTGTTTTCCATATAACCACTACGGACAGACCTAGCGCTTGCTGAATCAAAATCGGCAAAGAGGACGACATGCTTCAATTCCCAGCCCTGCGACTGTAGCCAACTTACTTCATGCGACTTTATCACTTCTCGGCTACGGCTCGGCTCGCTCTCCAGCCACTCCCGCATTCCCGAGGTTAAGATCGAGATAATACTCTCAAATTCATCCGGCAGCCTATTTTTGAGTTGAGTTTGTCGTGGTCTGGTACTCAGTTAATTACGCAGGTCGATCCTTGCAGGTTCAAAGAAGAGGTAGTATCCAAAGGCCATAGAAACAGACCCAGCCCCGGGGGAGCATGGCACCGCCCAGAACGACTTCCGACATCTCGGTTAGGCCATCAGAACGATCGAGACCCTACGGCAGACGGAGAAATTTGAAGAGAACACTTATCCTTGGCAATTGAGACGGTCAAGTTATCACAATCGTCGGAGCTGCAGTGGCGTTGGTGATTGCTTCGGGTACTGACGTAAGAATCTTAACGCTGGACACGAGGGCGGGAAATAGCATCAAGTCTGTGAGCAATGTTAATGTGTCAGCAAAAGCTTTATACTCTACTCCTGCGAGAGACTGCATGGCTTGCCTTTAGTGGCAATCGGCAACTAGATGCACACTTCAATGGCGCTACCTACTTCCAACGGGCAGCAAGCATCTTCAAACACGGCCACCAAGAAACAGTCCAACCAACACAAACTCCATAAGACTCGATCAGTCGTATCTATTTCGGGTCAACTACTCAAGACGGGTTAAGTGTAATAACGACCTCTAATGTCAATCCACTCGGAGAGTTCATATCCTCTGCCAAACCGGGATCATAGTGCAGGAATTCAGGACGGGTTGTTAATAATCACTTATGATCTCAGTAGGTTCGATGCTTGTGGCAATGAGTAAATGAAGAAGAATTGGAATGCAATAATTATGAGTTCATGGTTCAATTTGCAAGCACACTAAAGAGGTATTTCCTTAGTGTTGGGTAGTGTCTGACGTAGTGCCCACTAAGCTTACACTCTGTAACGTTAGTGAGGTTAATAATTACCAATTTGGGAAATCGAAAAGATAATCTGAGTATCGTGAATGGTCCGATCTGAGATTGAGTCTCTCGCTAATCTGTTCTTGAGCGGGTCTGTAAGTTCACTATCTTTTGAAGGATGAATATCTCATGATCATGGCAATTACCACGCCGCCTGTTCATGATTGTATCACTTGGATCTCAGTTATAAGTTCTCAGTGGTGATGGAAACTACCAGTCGCATGTTAGCTGCAAGCGACGTCTCGTTCCAGGTCCCTCGCCATGGAGGTACCGCGATGGATCACTGGACTAGACAAAGAGGTAAAACCATGTCGTTATTACATGCATTATTGTTGGTTACAATGGAGGCCAGCTTGGACGCGAACACTAATCACTCCTGTCTATATCCTAGTATTTACAGGGCGTACTTGAAAGAGAATAAATAGAACTATGACAGTGGCGATGCACTGTAGTGCAATGGCTAACCGAGGATGACACTAGACATGTTTAAAGAGACGACCATACAAATAGCAAAAGATATCCCGAAAGAAGCAGGCTCCCTGAGAAGCACATACTTCAGCACTTCGTCAAAAAAGGCTCAGAAGATGGTGTTGAAGACGAGCTGTCTCTGTATCGGACAGCGAGAGCACGACTGTCTCGATTGGCAACCAATGATGCTCAGTCTTCGCCTTGAACATCGCTAACTTTGCCTAGCGTCCTGCTCGTCCAGCTTTTTGTTACCGTCGCTCTATCCTTATCGAAGCCCTCGATCTCGTCTCGTGTACACTTGGACTTGAGTTTCCCAGCACCTATGTGAAATTCGCGCTTGGTGGATTATTAGGCCAATTGTTATTCCAAGGACAATACTTAGATGGTGTGGTTCGAAGTATGCGTAGCTTGTCAAAGCTCGGAAGATAGCACCAGGGACTTACCAAAGAGAAATACACGTTGGGTATAGTTCTTCCTTCATCTTCAAGGGTCAATAGAACACAGCCCATCTAGATAGATCTACTATCGAGGACAACGACCAACATGATGAGCCATCCACGGTAGCTCGAAATCCCTCTCCTTCCCACCAAGCCAATGGCTCGATACTCTTGAACGAGGATGAGGAAATAACTCGAGGTTACTCTCGACGTATTACAAGTCTGGAGCTGTAATGCGTCTCTGAAGTGTTTACCCTCTCCTATTCGCAACCGAAGGCGATTGCTAGGGCGCCATCCAACCAACAAGGCCGACGGCAGTGTGGCCGGGAAGCTGTTAAAGATAGTATGCAGATTCTCTCCCCCAAGGTCCCTTAAGGGAGCTCGAGAGGACACACGGAGAGAAGACAGCGCAAGACGCAGCTTCCAGATATCATGGATTGAGGTGGAAGCATTCGATCGGGTCATTCGCGAGGTCACTGAGAGTCCCAGGGTGCAGATTGAGTTACGGTGCGCGCGTTCTTTGCGCTCTCCTTGTTCGTTGATGGCGAGCTTCTTGAGCTACTTCTCGCTGCTCCTCCCATTTCTCTTTATTATTCTTTCGTTAATGTAAATTCGACCGGAGGTTGTTGTTGGAACTATCCATAGTGGCTACTATGGTAGCTGGAGGATCGTGTCGTTGATGATCGAGGGCGGGTCAAGGGGAAGATGTCGCAACCAAGACGTGACGCTGCTAATGACGCCATTGATCGATTCCTTCTCGTTCGCGAGTGTGCTGTGCCGCGCTCGGTGACAGGTAAGGCGCTGCTTGAACGGCGGAGGTAGTTGAGGACGTCGGTTTTGGGGCAGCCTCGTCGTGTTCCCTCGCGGTGTCGACATGCATAGCCTGCGTTAGCCAATCATCGGGAGATTCAAACGCTCTTGATGGAAACGGAGGCAAGATGAAGTACAGAGTTCTCAGCAGGCGATAGGGCATTAAGAATCGATTCTAATGCGAGCTTCAGCTAAATTAGCGACAATAAACATGAACTGGTGCCTTGGTAAGAACGCGGGTGCGACGTTGACGCGCGTGGCCAGGCCAAAACATGGCCCCAGCGTTATTTAATTTTCCGTGAAAAGTTGACGTTCTTGCCTAAACAGGGTAACCAACAGAGAGGCATCTGTGCAAACATGGCTATTTTGTAAAAGGCAATTCTTTATTTAATCCACAAAGGTCCTGAAAGCAATAGTATAGGTAGTTGTATGGGGTCAAGAACTTGACGCTTTTGCCTTCAGACTCGCACTCCCCGTGGGGGGAGGAATGGGCAATATTGAGCTTCAATGATCGACCGCCATTCACGGAACCACGACCACAAATAAGCCATAAACAACTAGAACAAGGCCATTTCCTAAGATTTGTCGACAATGTATTGTCAACGGATACTCTTTAGTTAACAGCGTCTCTCCAATGCCCGTGTTTCATTCTTATAAGCCATGACCTACCTTCTTCCTGCCAGAGTGACTACCATGCTCGTCGCTGAACGAAGACCTTTCTTTGTTGGCTCTTTCATTGTTTGTCGTCAATCCTCTTAACAGCGACTCCTCAGTAGGGCTGGATGATGGGCCATGAGATCTAGACGACGATATAACCCTTGCCTCGACCGCGAATGGGTATGAGTGCCGATCGCGTAATCCGTATCATACTTATAGAAACATCGCAGTCTACTTGCCACCATAGGAAAGCAAGAAGCTGGCGCTGATATAGACGGAATTCCTTCATCCAGAGACAAATACCCATTGTGTTTACCCCTTCTATTGACTGCCATCTGTAATGAAAGACGCGCGCTGGGCTGTAGAAGCCGAACGAGTCGGGAGTCCATGGTTGGTAGTGCTCTGGCGGCATCTGTGCTGAATTTCTTCGACAATCGCATGATTTGGTATCTACATCAGTCACGTTATTGCCGCGGCGGGATTTACGAGGCGTGATCTATACATCCGTCGCCGTGCAAGAGAGCGCCACGTCGTTCGGTAAGCTTGTTTGGGAGCGCCTCAACGCTGTTGAACAAACTGCCTAATTCACGACTCGATGGTGAGTTAGATCTTGGGGCGATCCGCTCTATGCTCTTTGTAAGTTGTGGTTGATATTGAACTCGTTCGAGAAACCAGGCTCGTTACTGTACTGAACACTCGAGGCGAAGTGCGAGGGGTCTTCGGTATCAATTTGGCTGCGCTTGCTACTGTGCTCGAATAGCGGATCAACAGGATTGTATATGGCATAACTAGAAGGAAGCTTAAAGTGAGAAGCGACAAGCGAATCCGACCAGTCTGTGCGAAATGGATATGTCGGTTGTGATATCTTGCTCTAGCTTCCTTGGACCATCGCCTTGCTAAGGTCGATCAGGGAAGCGCGCCATCCTCAGCGGTGGTATGTAGAAGAATTCAAGCTTCGAGTGCAGTCAGCAACGTCGTGTACAAAACGCTGGTAAATTCCTTCTGTTGTATTCGCGACAGTTTTAAGGAATTTACATGGCGATCTGTCCTTAGAGTGCCTGTGTCGAAGTGTCGATAGATAGAGTCCAATCCCTAAAGCACGTAAGGAAATGGTAAATCAATCACTCGCCCTGACTGCGTCGGAAGATTAATGCAGGGACTTACAGCAGTACAAGGTGGCACTCACAGGACCGTAAGCCTGGTCATCCGTGCACATCCAAGGTCTTCACCCTAGAATATATTTACAGTAGAGTCCAGGTCACCGAACATTAGTAGTAGATCACCTTCTTGTAG